GTGATTGGTAGATGGGTAACAAATCAGACATGGAATACATCTTTAAGCATGGTCAAGTTAATAATTATGCTGTGGATTATGTATTAAACCACCCAGACACATCAAAGATGCGATCCTCCAGAACTGAGCTGCAGGGCAGGAAGGAAACTGCTTAGGGATGTCACCATGATGCTACTGGTGATTTTAAAACAGTTACAGAGTTGTGGCTGTGATGGGAGAAAACTGAGGATGGACCAACAACATTGTAGTGACTCCACAATACTGACTTAAATGACAGAGTGAAAAGAAGAATACAAATATACCAAAACATGCATCTTTTATGCAACAAGGCACTAAAGTAATACTGCAAGAAAACACGGCAAAGGAATACACTTTTTGGCATAAATGCAAAGCCTTATGTTTGGTGCAAATCCAACACATCACTGAGTAACTGCCTCGTTATTTTTAAGCATGGTGGTGGCTGCATCATGGTATGGGTATGCTTGACATCAGCAAATACTGGGGAGTTTTCCAAGAAGACAGTGAATGTTCCTGATTGGCCATGTTACAATTTTGACTGAAATCGGCTTGAAAATCTATGGCAAGACTTGACAACACTTTGGAAAAAAATTATGGGCAAATGTTGCACAATCCAGGTGTGGAAAGCTCTAATGAGACTTACCTAGAAAGACTCACAGCTGTAATCACAGCCAAAGGTGCTTCTACGAAGTATTGACTCAGGGGTGTGAATACTTATGTAAATTAGATATTTCTGTATTTCATTTTCAATAAATTCACAAAATGTTCTACAAACATGTTTTCACTTTATTATTATGGTGTATTGTGTAGATGGGTGAGGGGAAGAAAATCAATTTAATCCTTTTTTGAATTCAGGTTGTAACAAAATGTGGAATAAGTCAAGGAGTATGGATACTTTCTGAAGGCATTGTATCTAATCATGATATGTTTTATTTTTCATTCATCTTTTTTAAAAGTTAGTATTTTGGGTAGATTGTTGACAAAAATGACAATTAAATCAATTTTTATCCCACTTTGTAACACAATAAAATGTGAAGAAATCCAAGGGGGGTGTAGACTTTCTACAGGCACTGTATGACTGCATCTACGCTTCAGGTAATATAGTGTAATTAAACATCACAAAAATATTTAAAACAAAGAATGACGATCACTTGTTCAAAATCACTATCAGCATGGAAATATTTGTTACCAAACCAAATCAATAGCCTCACATACCAATCCTATAAGAAATAAGTGATGTAACACCATTTCAGAGACTGTATGAAACTGAACAAAGGCCTGGTGAAGGACTGCTTTCATTAAGGGGATGCTTTCATTAAGTATCCTAAATGTCTCATAATGTGAACATTTCAGTGTAGGCTACTGCTGTGTGGAACCCACCCACCATTATGCCTACAATGTTTTTTATATAGAGAGATGATCCATTCTACAAGGAGCCAGCATATCATATGAAGGAAGATGTCCACAACATAAGAAGACAAACACTTGTTCTACCTTTCACAGGCTTGTGAACCAGACTTCCTGTTCCTGATCAGCTAATCACCAGCAGTAGGAGGTCTACAGTTCTGGCTTCAGGGCAGCAGCGGTGTGGGCTGTGGGCCGAAGCCTTGTGGGTAGAATCCAGTTATGTGCCCACATCTGACTTGGGCTCCAGCCAGCCAGGCACAGCAGAGAGCTGTGGTATACTGCTCAGAGAAGGAGACAGGTAGGCAGAGAGCTGTGGTATACTGCTCAGAGAGGGAGACAGGTAGGCAGAGAGCTGTGGTATACTGCTCAGAGAGGGAGACAGGTAGGCAGAGAGCTGTGGTATACTGCTCAGAGAGGGAGACAGGTAGGCAGAGAGCTGTGGTATACTGCTCAGAGAGGGAGACCGGTAGGCAGCCAGAGAGTGGGAGAGAGATGCCAGTGCCAATACTCAGGTCATCACCATGACTAGTTGAGTGAGTGGACTGTCTTGTGGGAGCAGTTCTACTAACCCACACAATGACGTCAGTGCTTCGTGTTCCAATGTTTGATTGTCAAACAGACAGAACCACCATATTGTATCCTCTTTAAATACAGCAACAATACATTATCCTCTGGTAGGGCCAACTGATTATATAAACATGCACTACAATAATGATATACAATCACCTGCATAAACATATTTCTATAGGGTACTATGAAGTTTCCTATACCAGGGGTATTCAACGCTTACCCTATGAGGTCCAGAGCCGGCTGGTTTTACATTTTAATCATTTAGCAGACGCTCTTATCCAGAGCGACTTACAGGAGCAATTAGGGTTAAGTGCCTTGCTCAAGGGCACAGACAGATTTTTCACCTAGTCGGCTCGGGGATTAGAACCAGCGATCTTTCGGTTACTGGCACAACGCTCTTAACCACTAAGCTACCTATCTGTTCCACCTGATAATTAATTGCACCCACCTGGTATCCCAGGTCTAAATCAGTCCCTGATTAGAGGGGAACAATGAAAACAATGCAGTGGCACTGGCTTCGAGGTCCAGAGTTGAGTTTGAGGGCCGTATACAATAGCATTACGTAAGGTAGGAAACCAATGGTGGTACACTGTTTTCCAGAACGCCGTCCGTGGGTGATATTGTTCACACACAGTGGATAATTGGTGTTTGTTCATGATCGTTCATTCAAAGTGTTCTCTTTATTATAGTCAAGGCTGTAAACAATGCATTGGCAGTGGCTTTCTCACCTGGGTAAAACGTCTCCCACACATCAAGGCCCAATCCCAAATAGACCCCTAGAGTGAAGCAATATGGTAATAGCTCCAACTTTCCCTCTGATAGGCTAGGTCAGGGGTAGGCAACCCTGTTCCTGGAGAGCCGCAGGATTTTGCTTTAACCGACCTGGAAGACCAGGTGTGTTGAATTTAGTCAATCACTGAACTGACCAACTGAGCTAATTGATTGGTTCAGTGATTGACTAAATTCAACACACCTGGTCTTCCAGGTTGGTTAAAGCAAAATCCTGCATACCCTGCGGCTCTCCAGGAACAGGGTTACCTACCCCTGACCTAGGTGAAAGTTTCACCATACTGCTTATACTAATCAAATCCTCTCTGAATAGGTTCTAGGGGTTGATTTGGGATTGGGCCTCTCTTTTCTCCGCCAATATGTCTACATCTCCAAACTGGTTCTGAGAACTCTCTCACTGGTGTCTAGTGCCACCTTGTGGTGAGAGTATGTACTACAAGCTGAAAATGGTGTTCAGTGAACATCTATGAAAAGGGATCATGTTGCTAATGAACAACGATCAAATATGACTTTATTAAAATATAATTAAAATATTGTGTTTCTGTAAAATGTGGACATAAACACATATACAGTAATGTGCTATGTTTCCCTTGTTATTGACCAACAGACCAATAGGAAATGAGGTGAAAAGACCAGGACAGTGTTGTCTGTAAGCCACAGCTCTGCCTTTTAATTACGTAAAACGGTTTTCAAATTACATTTATCTTCAGTTACCTCTAACTTCATTTTTCTGTCATGTGAATTATAAAGGAATTTGTACAGTGACAACATGCTACCAATCAATCCAAACCATATACTGAGAGACAGCAATCATTTTCCCTTTAGTGTTTCATTCATTATTAAAAAGAGATTGAACAGGGGAGGTGTGTACAGTAGGAGACTTCAGCACAACTGTTCTCCTAGGATGCCTTGGGGTGTGTTGTGTGTGTCTGTGTGTACACATATGTACACACAGGATGTACACACAGGATGCCTTGGGGTGTGTTGTGTGTATTGTTTTTAAACCAGCTACATATCATATTGTCCAACATTGGGACAATAACGTTTTTACGAAGAGGAATGTGTACTTCTGGTGTACCTGCACTCCATTCTATGAGAGAGAGCAATCAGGGAATGGACAGGCCAGCAGACTGTCTGTTTGTATGTATGGATGCTGCTTCTCCATGCAGTAAGAGACCAGCATGACTAAATCCATCCACAGCTACTGCTGTTATTGTTGTTGTTGAGTCAGTTGGACTAGCTCCATTCACAGCTACTGTTGTTATTGTTGAGTCAGTTGGACTAGCTCCATTCACAGCTACTGTTGTTATTGTTGAGTCAGTTGGACTAGCTCCATCCACAGCTACTGTTGTTATTGTTGTTGAGTCAGTTGGACTAGCTCCATCCCAGCTACAGTTGTTATTGTTGTTGTTGAGTCAGTTGGACTAGCTCCATCCACAGCTACTGTTGTTATTGTTGAGTCAGTTGGACTAGCTCCATCCACAGCTACTGCTGTTATTGTTGTTGTTGAGTCAGTTGGACTAGCTCCATCCACAGCTGCTGTTGTTATTGTTGAGTCAGTTGGACTAGCTCCATCCACAGCTACTGTTGTTATTGTTGAGTCAGTTGGACTAGCTCCATTCACAGCTACTGTTGTTATTGTTGAGTCAGTTGGACTAGCTCCATTCACAGCTACTGTTGTTATTGTTGTGGAGTCAGTTGGGACTAGCTCCCATCCACAGCTACTGTTGTTATTGTTGTTGTTGAGTCAGTTGGACTAGCTCCATCCACAGCAACTGTTGTTATTGTTGTTGTTGAGTCAGTTGGACTAGCTCCATCCACAGCAACTGTTGTTATTGTTGTTGTTGAGTCAGTTGGACTAGCTCCATCCACAGCTACTGTTGTTATTGTTGTTGTTGAGTCAGTTGGACTAGCTCCATCCACAGCAACTGTTGTTATTGTTGTTGTTGAGTCAGTTGGACTAGCTCCATCCACAGCTACTGTTGTTATTGTTGTTGTTGAGTCAGTTGGACTAGCTCCATCCACAGCTACTGTTGTTGTTGAGTCAGTTGGACTAGCTCCATCCACAGCTACTGTTGTTATTGTTGAGTCAGTTGGACTAGCTCCATCCACAGCTACTGTTGTTATTGTTGTTGTTGAGTCAGTTGGACTAGCTCCATCCACAGCTACTGTTGTTGTTGAGTCAGTTGGACTAGCTCCATCCACAGCTACTGTTGTTATTGTTCTTGTTGAGTCTTGTCTACGCTGCCAGCATCTCTCTGTTCTCCTTATTCTTTGCTAGTCTTCTCGCTGGAAAACAAAGAAACTATTGTCAGTGACTGTCTCTACAAAGCGTCTCAGAGTAAGAGTGTTGATCTAGGATCAAGTCCCTCATCTGTCCATATAATCCTATTAATAAATGATCTAAAAGGCCAAACTGCTCCTAGGTCAGTGCCTACTGTGAGACTGTCAATACTTACTGCCATAATGATTGAGGTAGTGTAACAGAGTAAAGACAGTACTGTTACTACTACCATAATGATTGAGGTAGTGTAACAGGGTAAAGACAGTACTGTTACTACTACCATAATGATTGAGGTAGTGTAACAGGGTAAAGACAGTACTGTTACTACTACCATAATGATTGAGGTAGTGTAACAGGGTAAAGACAGTACTGTTACTACTACCATAATGATTGAGGTAGTGTAACAGGGTAAAGACAGTACTGTTACTACTACCATAATGATTGAGGTAGTGTAACAGGGTAAAGACAGTACTGTTACTACTACGATAATGATTGAGGTAGTGTAACAGGGTAAAGACAGTACTGTTACTACTACCATAATGATTGAGGTAGTGTAACAGGGTAAAGACAGTACTGTTACTACTACCATAATGATTGAGGTAGTGTAACAGAGTAAAGACAGTACTGTTACTACTACCATAATGATTGAGGTAGTGTAACATGGTAAAGACAGTACTGTTACTACTACCATAATGATTGAGGTAGTGTAACAGGGTAAAGACAGTACTGTTACCTGGCTCTGTCTCAGCTGGTTCTGGGACCTCTGGTAGAAGCTCAGTGGGGACCTCTGGAAGTTCTACATCTTCTCCCTGCAGCAGTAGAGACAACGGTTACACAGGTTAAACAGGACTTGATCAGGTCATCATTAATTACCAACAGGTTAAACAGGACTTGATCACATTAGGTCATCATTACCAACAGGTTAAACAGAACCTGATCAGGTCATCAAATCAAATTTTATTTGCCACATGCGCCGAATACAACAGGTGTAGACCTTACTGTGAAATGCTTACTTACAAGCCCTTAACCAACAATGCAGTTTTTAATAAAATAAAAAGTGTTAAGTAAAAAATTGATAAGTAAAACAAATAATTAGGGCAATTAGGAGCAATTAGGGTTAAGTGCCTTGCTCAAGGGCAACAGACAGATTTTCACCTAGTCGGCTCGGGGAAGTAGAACCCAGCAATCTTTCAGTTTACTGGCACAACGCTCTTAACCACGAAGTCTACCTATCCTGTTCCACCTGATATAATTAAATTGCCGCCCCCTGGTATCCCAGGTCTAAATTCAGTCCCTGATTAGAGGGAACAAATGAAATGGACACTCCATTCCAACCGGTTTTGTGAGCAGGGCAGGTCCTCCGTTGTTTTTTATTGTTGAGATTGGAACCCATCCAAATTTTTCGTTTTGAATAGCTTGTCCCCCCCTTTTACGGTTTGTTGTGTTGGACTGATAGTTCCGATTTTTTGATTTTTGTTAACCTTTTTCCTACGCCCGTCATTTGGGCTCCTATCTCTTTTTTTCCTGACCAAAAAACCTTTTGTCTGACCGGTTAAAGGGGTTTTGTATTTGGACCACAGGCCAGTCCACTCTTCCTATTACCTTTAATTGTTAAGGCCAACCCCTGGTTCGGGCCACTAATGATGGTACTACGGGCCATAAGTGGTGGTAACAGGAGACAGAAGACTGACACCCCCCTGACCCCCGTGTTGAGGATCACGGGAGATGGTTGTTACTTACCTAAATTGGGGGAGTGTAAAGGGTAAGAGACGTTTCAAAGGAGGTTTTTAACGGGTTTTACGTATGTTACTTTACCATATGTTTGTTTGGGGTAAGAAGAAAACTTTCACTACAGTTGAGTAGAAGTTACTACATTTATTGGTATTAACTTTTTCCCCCTCAATTTTGTAAAAAACATATTTTTAATCTTAGGAATTTTGTGAGGAAAGAAATTTTCCAACCAATTTTAGAGGTCTATTAAGGTATACAATCCAATTCAGAAAGTTATAACTGGTAGACGTCTTTAAAAACACTAAATATTAAAGAAAAAAAGAATTATTTCTTGGCTCTGTAGGCTGTTCCCTTGGTAAGCCGTGGGGCCCCCTTCAAAATCCTCTGCGCTCTGAATCAGGGAAACAGTTAAACGGGCCAGACCTCAAAAAAACAGTTAAACAAATTGGGTTCACCGGGGGGCATTTCCAAAGTTTAAGAACCACTGATCGGTACAAAAAAATTTTATTTAAACCCAGGGGACCTTTTCAGCCTTTCTCCCGTGAAAGCTTCTTCCAGCCCAACACAAAGGATTTTTAAATGGGGGAAAAAGGTAAAAACTTATCCAAAAAAAAGCCATTTAGGGATTAACCTTGAAGGCGCCCAGATTTTAACCAGCCCCGGGGGGTTTAAAAGCACCATTTGCAACGCACTACAAAGTCCTTTTTTTTTAGAAATGCCCCCTGGCCCCAGCAAAATGCTGTTGGGCCAAATGAACCTGAAAAGGGAATTGCGGGGTCCAGATTGATTTTTTTTCCTAATACCGTGAAGAACGGGGTGGCAGTTTCGTGCTGTGGGGTTTTTCCAAGGGATGGTGTTTTTAAAAATGATGTTCATAAAGGGTTTTTTATTTTTGTAAGGCAAACATCTGCATCTCAGGGTTAAATTTGGGGTTTAAAACGTCTCCCACACATCAAGGCCCAATCCCAAATAGACCCCTAGAGTGAAGCAATATGGTAATAGCTCCAACTTTCCCTCTGATAGGCTAGGTCAGGGGTAGGCAACCCTGTTCCTGGAGAGCCGCAGGATTTTGCTTTAACCGACCTGGAAGACCAGGTGTGTTGAATTTAGTCAATCACTGAACTGACCAACTGAGCTAATTGATTGGTTCAGTGATTGACTAAATTCAACACACCTGTTCTTCCAGGTTGGTTAAAGCAAAATCCTGCATACCCTGCGGCTCTCCAGGAACAGGGTTACCTACCCCTGACCTAGGTGAAAGTTTCACCATACTGCTTATACTAATCAAATCCTCTCTGAATAAGTTCTAGGGGTTGATTTGGGATTGGGCCTCTCTTTTCTCCGCCAATATGTCTACATCTCCAAACTGGTTCTGAGAACTCTCTCACTGGTGTCTAGTGCCACCTTGTGGTGAGAGTATGTACTACAAGCTGAAAATGGTGTCCATGAAAAGGGATCATGTTGCTAATGAACAACGATCAAATATGACTTTATTAAAATATAATTAAAATATTGTGTTTCTGTAAAATGTGGACATAAACACATATACAGTAATGTGCTGTGTTGTTTGGCCATAATGACCATCGTTCTGTTTGGAGGAAAAAGGAAGATGCTTGTAATCCGAAGAACACCATCCCAACTGTGAAGCACGGGGGTGGCAGCATCGTGCTGTGGGGGTGCTTTGCTGCAGGAGGGACTGGTGCACTTCACAAAATAGATGGCATCATGAGGAAGGAAAAGAATGTGGATATATTGAAGCAACATCAAGACATCAGTCAGGAAGTTAAAGCTTGGTCGCAAATGGGTCTTCCAAATGAACAATGACCCCAAGCATACTTCCAAAGTTGTGGCAAAATGGCTTAAGGACAACAAAGTCAAGGTATTGGAGTGGCCATCACAAAGCCCTGACCTCAATCCTATAGAAAATGTGTGGGCAGAACTGAAAAAGCGTGTGTGAGCAAGAAGGCCTACAAACCTGACTCAGTTACACCAGCTCTGTCAGGAGGAATGGGCAAAAATTCACCCAACTTATTGTGGGAAGCTTGTGGAAGGACACCCGAAGCGTTTGACCCATGTTAAACAATTTAAAGGCAATGCTACCAAATACTAATTGAGTGTATGTAAACTTCTGACCCACTGGGAATGTGATGAACATTTCACATTCTTAAAATAAAGTGGTGATCCTAACTGACCTAAGACAGGGAATCTTTACTAGGATTAAATGTCAGGAATTGTGAAAAACTGAGTTTAAATGTATTTGGCTAAGGTGTATGTAAACTTCCGACTTCAACTGTAGGTGTTCCTCTTGTCCAGGTGGGAAAGGGCAGTGTGGAGTGCAATAGAGATTGCATCATCTGTGGATCTGTTTTGCCGGTATGCAAATTAGAGTGGGTCTAGGGTTTCTGGGATAATGGTGTTGATGTGAGCCATGACCAGCCTTTCAAAGCACTTCATTGCTACAGACGTGAGTGCTACGGGTCGGTAGTCATTTATCTTAGTGTTCTTGGGCACAGGGACTATGGTGGTCTGCTTGAAACATGTTGGTATTACAGACTCAGTCAGGGAGATTATGAAAATGTCAGTGAAGACACTTGCCAGTTGGTCAGCGCATTCTCTGAGTACACGTCCTGGTAATCCGTCTGGCCCTGCGGCCTTGTGAATGTTGACCTGCTTAAAAGTCTTACTCACATCGGCTACGGAGAGCGTGATCACATAGTCATCCGGAACAGCTGATGCTCTCATGCATGCTTCAGTGTTGCTTGCCTCGAAGCGAGCATAGAAGTGATTTATCTTGTCTGGTAGGCTTGTGTCACTGGGCAGCTCACGGCTGTGCTTCCCTTTGTAGTCTGTAATAGTTTTCAAGCCCTGCCACATCAGACGAGCGTCGGAGCTGGTGTAGTACGATTCAATATTAGTCCTGTATTGACTCTTTGCCTGTTTGATAGTTCGTCAGAGGGCATAGCGGGATTTCTTATAATTGTCCGGGTGAAACTGGTTAAACAGGACTTGATCAGGTCAGGTCATCATTACCAACAGGTTAAACAGGACTTGATCAGGTCAAGTCATCATTACCAACAGGTTAAACATGACTTGATCACATCAGTTCATCATTACCAACAGGTTAAACAGGACCTGATCAGGTCATCATTGCCAACTGGTTAAACAGGACTTGATCAGGTCAGGTCATTGTTACCAATAGGTTAAACAGGACTTGATCAGGTCATCATTACCAATAGGTTAAACAGGACTTGATCACGTCAGGTCATCATTACCAACTGGCTAAACAGGACTTGATCACGTCAGGTCATCATTACCAACAGGCTAAACAGGACTTGATCACGTCAGGTCATCTTACAGGTTAAACAGGACTTGATCAGGTCAGGTCATCATTACCAACATGTTAAACAGCATTTGATCAGGTCAGGTCATCATTACCAACATGTACAGCAGGGATAGGAACTCCAGTCCTGGAGGGCCAGAAGACTTCTGGTTTTCAGCAGGAAATGATTCAGACCTGGGACACCAGTTCAGATAACAGCCAGAGGGAACTGATGTAACCCAGTATGATACACACCTGAGTGATAGCCTCCAGTTCAGATAACACAGCATCCTCATCCTCCTGAGTCAGGGAGCCTGACAGCATCTCATCTATTTGCTGTAGGACCAATCAGAGCAGAGCATGTTAGCTGGGCAGCAACACACACTACACTGAAGACAGTACTTGGGATGGATTAAGAGTTAGGACTGTAAAAAGGGGTATATCAATTTGATTGATTGATGAGACCATGGGAAAAGAGAAACTCACCCTCTGGTACTCTACAGCATCCTGGGTCTCATCCATGATTCTCTCCACATCCTCTAGTGACATGGCCTGAGAGGAGGAGACAGGGACAATGTCAAGTTTGGATCAGAAACTCTCAGTTTACTTATTCTCTCTGTGTGTGTGTTTGTATGTGTGATGGGGATGAAACATTTTCTCTCTTAAAGAGAATAACTCTCTGAGCAGGTTGTGGATAGACAGACAGTGTAACCCAGGATATGCGGCAGCAGCAGTGACACCACTAGGCTCGCTGTAGTCTGGGATTTGTAACCTAATCCTTTAATCTTCAAACAATGTGCACAGCGACGCTAGCTAACACACACAGTCTTTGTTCTTGGGTGCAGGTCACGTAAAAGAGGTTACATGCCAGTGGAAGGTTTATTCATTAACACTTATGACACTGAGCTGAATGTCTTACACGTGTGTGAGTGTGTGTGTGTGTGTGTGTGTTTGACTGTGAATGAATAGAAAATAGTGGACAAAAAATCAAACCATACCCTACCTCATGCATACTCTTCAGACAGTCATTTCCAACCTTCAGCCCCTCAATGACTTTCATCTCGATCTGGACAAACTCAATGTCTTGAACCTGTGAAAACATTTACAGTACATGCTAAGATATAGAGGATCCAGCACTGAACCTGTAAAAACATATCAGTATGTTAAGATAGCATTCACTATACAGAACATCAAGATATACCCAGCCAGCATACCTTTTTGAAGACAGGTTGGCTGTGCAAAACATTACATCAACGTAGTTAAATTCCATACAAGTCAATGAAACCATAGGACCCAATAAGAGCCTCAGCCTCACCATGCGTTCCAGGTTTGATATCTGGTTCTCAGTCTTGTCTAGCAGCTGATCCTGATAACGCTTCTTCTTGAGAAGAACCAATGCCTTTCTACGGAGTGGAAGAACAACACACTGCACAATAAACCAAGTCCTAACATAACAACAAGTGTTTATTTTGCTCATCATCAAGCAGCTAGTCATACATTGATCAGGTTCAGTCAGTACACAATTTAAACGTCCGATTATGGTGATATTGACTATACTTGATATAGTTTAGTAGTCCCAGCTGTTTGCTAGTGTAATGGGAAATGTAATATGAATAAAGTTAATATGCAGTTAAGTGGTTAACACAATGTATTCTACTTTTCCATTCTGTAATACACAGGATTCTGTTTGTGCAAGGTTGACGGTCACTAGACTTGAAGGCTACACTTGAATGTTATGGCCAGTTCTATGTGATGATAGTGTGGGAGCCAGTCTAAAGGTGCCAGTTCTATGTGCTGATAGTGTGGGAGCCAGTCTAAAGGTGCCAGTTCTGTGTGCTGATAGTGGGAGCCAGACTAAAGGTGCCAGTTCTATGTGCTGATAGTGTGGGAGCCAGTCTAAAGGTGCCAGTTCTATGTGCTGATAGTGGGAGCCAGTCTAAAGGTGACAGTTCTATGTGCTGATAGTGTGGGAGCCAGTCTAAAGGTGCCAGTTCTATGTGATAGTGGGAGCCAGTCTAAAGGTGCCAGTTCTGAGGACATTCTGGTTATTATTGTTGTATCTGTAGACTGTGTGAGTCACTACCTTGTCTTATTTCTTTTGTCATGTGTTTACAGAACATATGTGATTAGGAATGGATGTAAGGGCCTGCTCAGAGATGGCTCGTTAGACATTATGCTCTGCTTCTGTGCTGGAGGTGTCTCCCTGTTGCAACGTGTATTAAACCATTGAATTGATCAACGACCGCTCCGGTCTTCATTTCACCTGGAAACGCCCTATTACATCAAAACAGAACAAACAGATCTGGGACCTGGCTATAGCCTAGGCTAGATGATGCCTGAACAAGTGAAGTATCCTGTCTCACTCTTTCTTTCCATCCTTCAGCAGCTGCTTGGCAAGATTCCTCTCCTTCTCCAGCTGCAGGGTGACTCGCTTCTGGTAGTGCTTCAGTTTATCTCTCTGCTGTTTCAGTTGCTGGAGAGTTGAACATACACAACGGGACAATCAGACAGTCTCAATAGACTCAGTTCTGAACAGGGCTATCATTATCAGACATTGTTTACCAAGTAGATAGCTAGCTACCTACAATATCATTCTGCCAAGAAAATAGTTAGCTAACTAGCTAGGGACTGTAGCCAGCTATCTAGTTAACTATAAATACCTGTCATACCCTGTCATTTGCAGGCTCCGACACTGTTGATGCGATCACAGCTGGCTACTGTTAATCACTTTGAGAGGTCATGTCACAGTTTTAACAGCAGCAGCAGCGACTGTCCCGTGATCGCTCCTGGGTGTTGACAACTAACTAACGTTAGCTAGCAGGGATTGTTACCAAGTCTTACCAAGTTACTGTGTACATCAGACAGCTAGCTAACGTTAATCCAAGCCAGCCACTAGAGCTAGCAAGCTAGCTAGCGTCCCTACTATTGAAACAGGCTAGCAACAACAACAACTCACCAGAATCGCTCGGTCTTGTTCTGTAACTCGAGAAGGGCGACTCTTTCTCCCGAAAACGTTTCCCATAACGTAGCCACATCCCCGCCACTATCCTCTACTTTGATACAGAAGCTATTTTTTCTTGGGGGAACATGTTTTTGTGATTATGTTTACAAGTCGTTGTGCTTAGCTAACGAACTTTGCTAACATAATTCAAAGCCACACCCTTTCCGCGTTTAGTACGGCATCCGGGACGGGTTAATTTATTCCAATGATGTATATAAAACCAGGATAGCGCATGCTATGTTTTGGCCATTGAGAGGCTTTGACGCCACCTGTCGGCTATATTGGCACTCCCCAGTAGGAGCAGTCCTCCATTCATAGGAATGAATAGAATTCTACAATATTTCAATTAAATGTTTCAGTATTTGTTTGTTGTAGTGGGGACAGTAACATTAATAATCTATTTTTAGAATTTGTATGTTTAGCTCACATAATATAATTAAAAAGTAGGCTTTAAAGTGTCTGTAATAGAACAAACACGGCTAAAACGGATGTAGACATTAATACATGCATTTCTTTAGCTTCTGACAACTGGTGAGGGAGTGTCAAGATGGAGGCTTGGTGGCTTCAACACAACACAACTCCTGAACTCCTCTACTTCCTCCTGAACTTCCTCTACCCTCAACCTCTCGATCATTTTCATGATGTCCATCCGGTTTGCTTCTATATTTCTCAAAAGCTCTCAACCTATATACTTATTATGGACAGAGTATGCTTTACATTAGTTATCTTGTTGTTATTAGTCCCATCCTTCAGCTCCATCCAACACCTCCCGTCTATCTCTTAACACCATCCATATTGGATTTCTATTTGCCATATATTTTTCAACTGTACTGTGATGTTTCACAAAAGTTCTGAACCCTTCTATTCTCATTGTTTCTACAGATTGTACATTGAAAATAAACATTTTGGCTAAAAGTATTATTATATAATTGATCGATTGACTATGACTTTTCAGATCACCCAGTAGTGCTATCTGCAGGGTTAGCTCCAGGTAAATATTGCAATCCTTCAGCCATTCCTGGACCTGTGACCAAAAACAAGCTACAAATGGACAGTACCAAAACAAATGATCTAATGATTCTGTCTCTTCGCAGCAAAATCTGCAGAGCTGGGAAGAGTGTATCCCCCATATAAATAACATTATATTGGTAGCAAGAATTTTATATAATAATTTTAATTGGTTCATAAGCTTGGTGTGCCTCTTTTGTGAGTGTCTCCAGAAGCTGACGATGTACTGACAAAGAATTTAAAAAACAAATGTCGTCATGACTAACAAGCTGACGATGTATTGACGAAGCATTGACAAACGAATGCCGTCATGACGAACAAGCTGATGATGTATTGACGAAGCATTGACAAACGAATGCCATCATGACGGATAAGCTGACTATGTATTGACGAAGCATTGATAAACAAGATGACGATGTATTGACAAAAAAATGCCGCCATGACGAACAAGCTGACGATGTGTTGACGAAGCATTGACAAACAAATGCCGTCATGACGAACAAGCTGACGATGTATTGACAAACTAATGCCATCTTGACGAAGTATCAACAAACTGATACCATATTGTATGCTGTACTGATGAAGAGCTGCTGAATAAAGCCTTGTCCGACAGAAGTTATATAGGACTATTCTTTGAGTCGGACTGCCCTTCAAAGTAATTCGGAAGATGTGGACCGCAGTAACGCAAACGCCATGCAGCTATCTCCCCGTCGTGTTGTTGGTGCGGCTCATTCTGCCGTTTAATACCGTCTATGGTTCCGCCCATCATCAAGGAAGAGGAATACTGTGTTAGCGCTACGGTCAATGCCACTGTGCTTGACTCCAAAGGCAATCCAATTCTAACCAGCGAGCATGATGGCACGTTTGGCTATAATTCACCAAAAGTGGATGCAAAAGGATGGCACCTGCACCGAATCATGGAGGAGTGGTGGGACGGTATGGCTGCGACGCCCACACACGCTTCGTGGTGCCCCCCGGGAAGAGGCACTGGATGGTCCTGCTGCAAAAATATAATCAACGCCTTGGCCTTCAACGACTCCGCCAACTCCAAGGAGAGCACCGTCAAGATGGGCCACGAAGGTACGGGTGATATGGAGGCATGATGATCACCAAGTCGTACGTCAAGGAGAGGGTGGGCCTGCTGGAGAGGAACCTCAAGGTGCTGGTGGCATATTGGTGGGCCGACGCGGCTACCCCAAGAACATCAACCTGTCCACTAGATGTCAGGCTATACCACCTTTGTTACTGGCATGTCTTTGTGCTTCATACCATTTCACCTCAGTTTTACGACTTGGCTAGATATAGGTTTGGCCACACCTGCACTAATCTTTTCTAACTATCAGTGACTTTGCTAATAGCTGCTTTATTGAGGAAAAGGTGTACTTACTATGACTGTGATAGAAGGTTGTCTCACCTTGCTAGCTACCTTAAGATGAATGCACTAACTGTAAGTCACTCTGGATAAGAGTATCTGCTAAATGACTAATATGTAATAATATGTAGTATATGTGCAGTACAATATATTGCATAATCTATTAATGACAGTATCTCTTATACAGACAGTGTGTGTGGGCAAAATAGACAAATAAACACAGAAAGCTTTTTTTTCACTCTATTTATACACTTGGTCCAATACTTCAACAAACGTAGAAAATAAACAGCAGTTGACAGATCTCAATAAAGGAAGAAAAGGATGACCACAACCAATAATTAACAATGATGGGTTATCTTATCTGACTGTTAAGGGCCCCTGCAGTACTGTACAATGATGGGTTATCTTATCTGACTGTTAAGGGCCCCTGCAGTACTGTACAATGATGGGTTATCTTATCTGACTGTTAAGGGCCCCTGCAGTACTTTTCTTTGACCATGTCTTAACCAATTATATGTATATATCTATAGTCTTAACAGACCCAGGTGCATGCATTGTGCTTATAGCACATCTCTCCAAATGTGTATTTTGTCATTCAACATGGAACTGAAGGGATGAATTGGCACAATGTTTATTTCTGTGATTGTGTCCAACTCACAGTAAACAAACATCCAATAAACATGACATCAGTGATAATACTTAGCAGTAATTCACCATCAACACCATTTCAGTTGTTGATTGTTTCCTGTCATCCTATCCAGGGAATGTTTAACATGCTAATGTACAGGCAGCAGGCCTATAGCCTAGAATCCAAACGTAATATTACTCTAATTCAGACGGTGCACCCCAATGCTCTCACCTTCCTCCTGAAGGGTGAACTCGTTCACTACTCCCCACAAGTTTAAAAGCATTGGATTGGTGTAGACATGGGTTAGAGGGATAGTAATTTCCTTTCAAATCCATGCAGGGGAAGTGAATAAGTGCACTCTTTGGGGAAAATGAGATTATTGGGACACAGTCACAGATTCAAGTGACACAATAGTGAATCAGAGCAATATTCAGTTTAGATGCCAAGCTACAGAAAGCCCTCAGTGTTGTCTTGAAATGAACTGGCATGGAACCCAAACTGAATATCACTTTGTTTAACTCATTTCACTGATTCACTGAAACAATAATGAAACAGACTGATATTCAGTTTTGAATCCAGGCTAGAATTGAGCAGGACACAGCATGCATGATGACACAACATAGGAGAACAGAGAGAAACAGGTTACAGAAAATTAAGGCTTTAGAAACATCATCATGCATCCTTTCTCCTCAGTCCCCCTCACACGTAAATAGTACACTCTTAGAAAAAAGGGTTCTAAAAGGGTTCTTCGGCAGTCCCCATAGGATAATCCATTTTGGTTCCAGGTAGAACCCTTTTTTAGTTCCAGGTAGAACTATTTTGGGTTCCATCTGTGGAAAGGGTTCTACATGGAACCCCAAAAGATTCTACCCGGAACCAAAAGGATTCTACCTGGAACCAAAAAGGGTTCTTCAAAGGGTTCTCCTATGTGGACAGCCGAATAACCCTTTTAGGTTCAATGAATAACATGAAAGACAAGTGAAAATACAGTGTCCGTTTTCATCAAGTTTGACGCATCTCTCTGAGGGAAGACATTATGAAGGCTTTGGGTTTTGTCAGATGTGTAAGAGCTGTGTAGTCAACTGTAAGAGGTGCTGAATGCTAGTCTGGCTAGATGACAGTTTGTAATAGTGATGATAGGTTGATGAAGACTGAAGAGAGTTCATGTCATAACTCTGAAGGAAATCCATCTGGTTATTTGTTGCCCCCTGAAATCCATCGTAGGTGATGTCACTCGCAGGGAAAATATAAATGTTCAACTTGGTCCATAATAATCATGTCTTTTGATCTGGCTCCAGACGAACATTTGAAGAAAACACATAACTGAATTGTCAGTTTGTCTGGGTAGATGCAAGTGCACTTTACACTTGGGATTATATGTAGTCTCCTGGTTTCTACATGTACAGTACAGGACTTGAAGAGCGTCAGTGTGTTCCTGAGGTGTTGTTGGCCCCATACCTCCTGCATTTAAGTAACAGATGGCCAGGAGAGCAGGGTAAGACATCCATGGACAGGGTTATCTGTAAACACAGCTTCCTCAGTACAGTGGTAGTCCCAGTCAGCCACCACAGTGTGTCCCAGACAGACCCTTCCTGAGGGGCACCAGTAGGTCATGGTTGGGGGCTACACCTGCTGGAAGTCTGTCCCGAAGTGTCTGATCTGTGTGTCAGTCATAGACAGGTAGGTGGTCCTCATTCTGGGAGAATACTGCAGGAGGAAGGAACAAAATACACGTTAGATCACATAACTGTGTGAAAGCAAAATCGTTTTTTCTATCAATCAAACTTTGAAAAATGTCATAAATGTTCAAACATTTGTTTTGATTAGGAGGTGCTCCGTGGTGGGTAGGTCAGGGGGTTGTGTGACTCAGTGTTCTGAACTACAGGGTGGCGGGGAGACGGTAGGACACAGGTCACAGGTGAAGGGCAGGCAGAGGTCAAAGGTGAGGGGCGTGTGGGTGAGATTTGGGTTAGGGGCGAGGGGGCACATCACATGAAAAGTTCCACTCACAGGTTAACACACTGTGGACACAACATCGCCGGAGGTCAGAGGTCATACAGCTGAGGTTAGAGGTCACAGAGCTTAGATAGATCACATTGGTGTCAGGACCAAACAAGCTGATTGGTTAATAATGGTCAGTCTCATTCCGGAGATGTAGGGCTACAAGAGCAATAATTAGAACTATGAACTACTTCTAAGAATTAGAAGTAAGACTTAGAACCACCTTTTATTAGACGGGGTGGAAGGAGAATGAGAGCGGTACAACAAAATAAAGTATCCTCCTTAATAAAGGAAGGGAAGTATAAAGGTACAGTAAGGTTGTGTGTAGTGTACAACAGAACACTTACTGTTTCTAAATGTCTGGCAGTAAAAGAAAATACAAAAATAAAGTTAGAAGCAAAATATGAGTTAGATGTCCGGTAAGGATTGGAAAAGAACAAAGAGTCTTCTTTAAGACAGCATAAAGAGATATGCTAGGTCCTGTCCTGTAGACTATATGGCACATGTAGCAAAAACAAAAGGCCAGTATGATTGGCACACAAAAAGGTTTTCGTCTCTGTCGTTAAATTAAATATTCGTACAATATAGGATGGACAACTGTGTTATTTGCAACGGCTTAAAAACATCCAGTGGAATATATAACGTTTCATGAATAAATAGGTCACAAAATAGGTTACATCTATCCAAATAAATAAACATCTGAATTGGATCTGTTTAAAAGACAGCTTCCTAGCATCTAGTCCCACTTGTTTCCTGATGGCAGAGATTTACCCTGTGTGTTAGCGGTATCATTTATTAAACTGCGGCTGACATTGTAGTTGTTCAGTAGTAATAATAACACCACTGACCTCCCTTCTCATGTCAAGCTACACAGCACACCATTTGTTCTGAGCAAATGTACAACAAGAAGTACTCTTGTCTTGACTTCTGTGCAGAGTCAAGTGCTCTGTAGTCTCACTTGCCTGTGTGTGTGTGTGTGTGTGTGTGTGTTGTGAGAACAGACTGTTCTAACTCTGAAGGGTTTGATTCTCTCCCTGCGCACAGCAGCACTAGAACAATGATTGTGCTTCACAACAACATACTGTAACATTACCAGTCAGGCCATACTGTAACATTACCAGTCAGGCCATACTGTAACATTACCAGTCAGGCCATACTGTAACATTACCAGTCAGGCCATACTGTAACATTACCAGTCAGGCCATACAGTAACATTACCAGTCAGGCCATACTGTAACATTACCAGTCAATCCATCCTTAACATTACCAGTCAATACATACTTTAACATTACCAGTCAAGACATACTTTAACATTACCAGTCAAGCCATACTGTAACATTACCAGTCAGGCCATACTGTAACATTACCAGTCAAGCCATACTGTAACATTACCAGTCAGGCCATACAGTAACATTACCAGTCAGGCCATACTGTAACATTACCAGTCATGCCATACTTTAACATTACCAGTCAAGACATACTTTAACATTACCAGTCAAGACATACTTTAACATTACCAGTCAAGCCATACTGTAACATTACCAGTCAGGCCATACTGTAACATTACCAGTCAAGCCATACTGTAACATTACCAGTCAAGACATACGTTAACATTACCAGTCAAGCCATACTGTAACATTACCAGTCAGGCCATACTGTAACATTACCAGTCAAGCCATACTGTAACATTACCAGTCAAGCCATACTGTAACATTACCAGTCAAGCCATACTGTAACATTACCAGTCAAGCCATCTTTAACATTACCAGTCAAGCCATACTGTAACATTACCAGTCAAGCCATACTGTAACATTACCAGTCAAGCCATCTTTAACATTACCAGTCAAGCCATACTGTAACATTACCAGTCAAGCCATACTGTAACATTACCAGTCAAGCCATCTTTAACATTACCAGTCAAACCATACTGTAACATTACCAGTCAAGCCATACTGTAGTAGGCATTAGCAGGCTAGCCTCTCTCTAGGGACATTAGCAGGCTAGCCTCTCTCTAGGGACATTAGCAGGCTAGCCTCTCTCTAGGGACATTAGCAGGCTAGCCTCTCTCTAGGGTCATTAGCAGGCTAGCCTCTCTCTAGGGACATTAGCAGGCTTGCATCAGAGAGCATCAGGCCAAATAATGGCACAAGAGCGAAGAACATGTACTGTTTTGTCTGTATTTCAGTCCATGACCAGCAGAGAGCAGTCTTTCACCATAATGTGCAGTGGAAGGGCCAATCCCAAATCGACCCCATAAACCCTAATGGAAATCTGAGAGTATTTGATTGGTATAAGCAATATGGTCAAACTTCCAGATGGCAAGGTGGATCACAAGTGCATAGGGTGCAGGATTTAGGGGACAATTTGGGAATGGACCAATTATTATCTGTTGAACGATAGTCCATTTACATTTGAGCCATTTAGCAGACGCTCTTATCCAGAGCGACTTACAGGAGCAATTAGGGTTAAGTGCCTTGCTCAAGGGCACACCAACAGATTGTTCACCTAGTTGGCTCAGGGATTCGAACCAGCAACCTTTCGGTTACTGGCCCAACACTCTTAACCGCTAGACTACCTGCCGCCCCAGGAGGTTCTGTCAGGCTGTGGATACTGTATGGTATACATAGTAAAGGCAGCAGAGACTGCGTCTTGGAGAATGTCTGTGGTCCTTCAGTACAATATGATGTATTAGTGTTGATGACATTCTCTAACAAGGGACCTGCCTGGCCTCTGGCTGTACACACAGCTCTATACATGAGTCTGTCTGTGGCCCTTCAGCTCAGTAGAACGTAGCAGCGTTAATGTTCATGTCAGTGACATCATCACACGAGGGACCTAGCCTCCAGAACGAGAGACCTGGCCTCTAACGTTAGTGGCCAACGCACCGAGGGTGGCGGGGATCCCCTCCCGATCAGAGGAACGTTCTCATAGCGAGGGTTCCCTCCAAACAGCATAGACTGATTCCTATAGGAGAGAGAGAGATGGGGGAGTGAGAGAGAGAGAGAGAGAGAGAGAGAGATAGAGAGAGAGATAGAGAGAGAGAGAGAGAGAGAGAGAGAGAGAGAGAGTCAAGTTATCTGATAAAACAAACACAGTGCTGCTTATTCCAGACACACAGATACGGACAGGGAGACAGACACACACAAACAGACAAATAGACACACACACAGGCCGACACAGACACCCTACCTCCTCTCTCTACTTACATGTACTCTGAGGTGGGGAGGATGGCAGCAGTCTGTGGTGGAGGGTGTAGACTGGCCTGGCTGTCCAGACTGCTGCTGTAGCTACAGAAGCTGTGTACATGGCTGGCTCTACTGGGGTTGTAGGCCATATGACGGGCCTGGGGGTTAAACGGATCCTCCTCATCGATGTCGTCATTGTCCCTGTCCCTGAGATCACCACAGGAGCGAGCACCATCAGTCAGCACCAGGCTTTCTGTTAGTTTCATTTCATGGCGCCCAAAGCAACATCCAGGTCCTCTAGCATCAACATCCAGACCCTCTAGCATCAACATCCAGACCATCTAGCATCAACATCCAGACCCTCTAGCATCAACATCCAGACCCTCTAGCATCAACATCCAGACCCTCTAGCATCAACATCCAGACCCTCTAGCATCAACATCCAGACCCTCTAGCATCAACATCCAGACCCTCTAGCATCAACATCCAGACCCTCTAGCATCAACATCCAGACCCTCTAGCATCAACATCCAGACCCTCTAGCATCAACATCCAGACCCTCTAGCATCAACATCCAGACCCTCTAGTATCAACATCCAGACCCTCTAGCATCAACATCCAGACCCTCTAGTATCAACATGCAGACCCTCTAGTATCAACATCCAGGCCCTCTATTATCAACATCCAGACCCTCTAGCATCAACATCCAGACCCTCTAGTATCAACATCCAGGCCCTCTAGTATCAACATCCAGACCCTCTAGCATCAACATCCAGACCCTCTAGTATCAACATCCAGGCCCACTAGCACACAGTTTGGTGGCACCTTAATTGGGGAGGACAGGCTCGTGGTAATGACTGGAGCGGAATCAGAGGAATGGTATCAAATACATCAAACACATGGTTTCCAGGTGTTTGATGCCATTCCATTTGCTCCATTCCAGACATTATTATGAGCCGTTCTCCTCTCAGCAGCCTCCATTGTTAATTGAAACCAATAGACACAATAGAACCACTATAGCAAACAAATGAAACATCTTTTAGGCCATGAATCTCCCAGTCCTTATTTGGTTAGGCTTAGGTGTAAGGGTCAAGGTTGGGGTTGTGGTTACAGGTAGGTTGAACACACATAGACCAAATACAGTGTTACCAGTCCCTACCTGCTGGCGATGAGGGTCCATGCCCGGGGGATGGCACACAGCATGGCACAGAAGGCACTGACCGACAGCAGAGAGAAGAGGCAGAGGTAGAGGAGACCCTCCACCCCGTCATAACACACCCCCATCAGACCATCCAGGTAGTTCTACAAGACAAAACACCCTCACTGTTACCCTAACTGACACCCTCACTGTTACCCTCACCATTACCCTTACCGTTACCATCACTGTTACCCTCACTGTTACTCTCACTGACACCCTCACTGTTACCCCTCAATGACACCCTCACTGTTACTCTCACTGACACCCTCACTGTTACCCCTCAATGACACCCTCACTGTTACCCTCACTGTTAAGATTATAACTTTATTGTCCATCAACCACAAGAAGATAATTTGAAGACATCTGAGTACTCAATTTCTATTTCTGGTATAGTCACAACGTGGAGTGTTGTGCGATAAGAGTTTTTAGGGGATTTCAAAGAACCTAAGAGCACCTTTTGTATTTTTATTCAAGTGTGTCTGGGTATGTTCTCATTCTACAGACGCATTCTCACTGTAACCATGACGTCCTCTTGTCTCAGGGTAACCATCTCACCTTATGGAGCCCCCTGCAGTCTAGCAGGGCTGTTAACTGGTGCATGTTGAACTCTGTAGAGTTCAGCAGGCGCTGGATCCCCAGAAGATCTCTCTGTAGACAAGGTATAAAAATAGTGTGAGGAACAACACACCTCCCGTAACACTGTGTCCTCCCGTAACACAGTGTCCTCCTGTAACACTATGTGTCCTACTGTAACACTATGTATCCTCCTGTAACTCTAGGTGTCCTCCTGTAACACTATGTATCCTCCTGTAACACTATTTATCCTCATGTAACACTGTGTCCTCCTGTAACACTATGTGTCCTCCTGTAACACTATTAATCCTCCTGTAACACTATGTATCCTCCTGTAACACTATGTGTCCTCCTGTAACTCTAGGTGTCCTCCTGTAACACTATGTATCCTCCTGTAACACTGTGTCCTCCTGTAACACTATTTATCCTCCTGTAACACTATGTGTCCTCCTGTAACACTATGTGTCCTACTGTAACACTATGTATCCTCCTGTAACACTATATGTCCTCCTGTAACTCTAGGTGTCCTCCTGTAACACTATGTATCCTCCTGTAACACTATGTAAACTCCTGTAACACCATGTATCCTACTGTAACACTATGTGTCCCCCTGTAACACTATGTGTTCTCCTGTAACACTATGTATCCTCCTGTAACTCTAGGTGTCCTCCTGTAACACTATGTGTCCTCCTGTAACTCTAGGTGTCCTCCTGTAACACTATGTTTCCTCCTGTAACTCTAGGTGTCCTCCTGTAACACTATGTTTCCTCCTGTAACACTCCTGTAACACTCTTCTAAACACAGTGGCACAGAGCACTAAGTAACCCTAACATGTTAAACAGACATGCAGGATTTGACAATTACTCTCTATGAGGGCTTTAACAGCGTTTTAGCGCTCTGCCCTTATGTGTTTAGAAGAATACAGTGTCAGCATCAGCACTAGATGTTGAGCTCCATAGAGATATCGGTACTGAATATAATAAATATAATGCTATTTTTATGTTGATTGCTGCTCCATCCACTCACCTCAGCAGTGGGGAAGACAGGTACAGAGAACTGCAGTAGTCCCTGTATTTGGATCTGCATGGTGGTCAGAGACCTCTGGAAGATAGTCAGAGACTGACACACACACACACACACACACACACAAATTGTAGAGTCAAAGCTGTGTAGAAACATGAGTGAAAATATGTCATAAAGTGTGTCATTCTGGACCCTTAATGGAGGACACGTTCATTTCAGACGGAGAGCCCCAGATTATCCAGATTACCCCACCCACCCCAAAACACACACACACTCCGACCCCCCCTCTCCCCCAATCTGATCCCTAGCACAAACAACAGACAATATGTCCATTGGCTGAGCCATAAGAGGGCAGATTATCTCTGTCTACTTAACAAGGCATAACACAAAGCTTTAAATGGATACTGCTATGTGTGTGTGTTTACTGGCCATGAGGATGTATCTACCCTCTGTATATTACCTCAATACATGGACCATTAATACTGGCCTTTTAAATATGTAATATCCCCGGCATGGTAAATAAATAAAAGGGATTTGGGGGATGGGGGGGTTGGTCTCTGTGTGTGTGTGTGTAGTCCCTGAGGCAGACTATACACACTGTCTATGTCTACACCCCACTAATCATCTCCAAACCCCACATATAAAATGTTCTTGGATCAAAGTGTATTTTTGTTATGGCCTGAAAGTCATTAAATTAGTAGTGCTGCCTGTTTTTAACTCAGAGGCTCAACAACGTTTTGATTAACATCTGCTTCTGAGCTTGTCACGCCCTGGCTCTGGGGACACTGTTATGTTGAGCCAGGGTGTGTAGATTTCTGTGTTGTAGGTCTAGTTGTTTCTTTTCTATGTTGCCAGTGTGGTTCTCAATCAGAGGCAACGAGTGTCAGCTGTGGCTGGTTGTCTCTGATTGGGAACCACATTTAAACAGGCTGTTTTCCCACAATAGTTGTGGGATCTTGTTTCTAGTTGGTTTGTGTTAGACCGTGAACTGTCACGTTATCGTTTTGTTTATTTTGTAGTGTAATCGCTAAATAAAGAGTATGTTTGCCTGCAACGCTGCGCCTTGGTCCTCCTCTCTTACCGACGAACGTGACAGAGCTAATCAAACTAATGAGGGAAAACGACTTTTACAACTAAAAGATCATTCATGTACCTGTTGGAAAGGGTTGGGTAGACTGCAATACAGGTAGTAGTGTGTCACTTCTGAGAGAGAGAGAGAGAGAGATCATCCCAATGAAGATTAACCCAAACACACCCTGTATTAATTACATTCATTAATTTCAGAAAGTAAAGACAGCATAAACACATCTTAACATGTAGGATTTGTTCTGTAACAGTGGGTTTATCTGACCAGTGGTTCTGTAGGAGCCAAATAGGTCATATTGTATATTTGCATGTTTCCAATTCATGATGCATTTCTGTTGTATGTGTGTTTGCCATTAATCCCCTGTCAAGTGTGTGTACCCCCTCTACAGGCCAGTGGAGAATACAGTTAAAAGGCATACACGCTCCAAGGCCTACTGGGAGTGGCTGGAATGGCAGCACACAGTCTTTTGACCATACCAGACCATGTTTACCATGCTGTTTGTTTCTTTAGTTTAATGATCACAATTAGTTTAGGAAAAATTCTATACATTTTTGTATCCACAAGAACAACAAATAAATGTATTATTATTTTTCAACTTGAATCAAACTCTGGACATTGAATTTGTATGATTCAAGACTAACATTTCACCACTCTCCATTGTGGCTAAAGGATTAGAATGGAAATTGTATTGGGACAATTATATATTTTAGCCACTACATCTGTCAAGTGTGAGCCAGTGTGGACTGTGAAGATAACTTGCATAAATCACATTGTCTATGACTGCTATTAGAAAACTGGAACTGGAAGGTACCTCACCTGCACTGAGGAACTCCTTGGTCCTGTTCGCTATGAACTTGTCTGGAGACACACAGAAGTCACTGGTGCCCTGGAGGGAAAACAGGATATTATACAGTCAGAAGTCACTGGTGCCCTGCAGGGAAAACAGGACACTATACAGTCTGAAGTCACTGGTGCCCTGCAGGGAAAACAGGACACTATACAGTCTGAAGTCACTGGTGCCCTGCAGGGAAAACAGGATACTATACCGAGCAGGATTGTGGTCAAATTTCAGTGTACTTCCTGAATTGACTGGAATTGAAATGGTATTGACCGCAAACCTGATACCGTGGCATTAAACAGGTGTTATCTGGTGTTCATTAGTGTTTAATTACACTCAATGATCCATGACTTGTTAAAGCACTATTATAGCTTGACATTAAAATGGACAATGATTTTACAGAACAAAGAAAAATTAAGACCCGTCATAAACACTTAAGACTCAAATCACTTCCCAGAATCTTAATGACTGTTTGGAATTATTAGCCTAACAGTCGATGGAGGGTGTGACAGAAAATAATATCCTGTCAAAGTAAATCAACTATAGATCACACAAGAGGGCTATTAGTAACAACAGTCTCCATGCCTCTTTAACCTGTGCTGAGCGTAGCAGAACCAACCCTAGCATATAGACTGTCTGCTCAGACTCTCTCATTCATCTGTGTGTGATTGTGTGTGTGCGTGGTTAGTGCTATCCGGGGTCCTTGGGACGTCCCTACCCTAAACCTTAACCTTAACCATAACTCTAACCCTAACCCTAACCTTAACCCTTACCTTAACCATTTTAAATGTAAACTTTAATGGGGTGACCTCGAGTCGGACGTCCCAAGGAACCCAGATAGCAGGGACCGTGCATGCATGCGTGTGTGCGCGTGTTTGTGTGTGTAGGGAGAGAGCCTGTTGATGTGCATGCATAAGCAATTACTGTCAGGCCAAAGATCCCCAGTATTCAGACTGTCACCCTGCTAGAGAGGGCCATACACATATAACTCCAATGACATGTCTAGAAGTTTAGAGGTAATCTATATAGTCATGATCTATTGGCATTATATTTCTATGAGAAAATATTTATCTCCCTCTCTTATTGTTGGGAGGAGTTGAGGAGGAGGAGGAACAATGATCTGGGTTGAGGAGGAGGAGGAGGAGGAACAATGTTCTGGGTTGAGGAGGAGGAGTTGAGGAGTTGAGGAGGAGGAGGAACAATTATCTGGGTTGAGGAGGAGGAGGAGGAGGAGGAGGAGGAGGAGGAGGAGGAGGAGGGAAAATGATCTGGGTTGAGGAGGAGGAGTTGAGGAGGAACAATGATCTGGGTTGAGGAGGAGGAGGAGGAGGAGGAGGAGGAGGAAAAATGATCTGGGTTGAGGAGGAGGAGGAGGAGGAGGAGGAGGAGGAGGAAAAATGATCTGGGTTGAGGAGGAAAAATGATCTTGGTTGAGGAGGAAAAATCAACGGAAGAGGAGGATGAGGAACGCAGGAAAAAACAAGGGAGTCGATAATGTTCCAGTGAAAAGGTTTGATAATCCACTTTACTGCTAGGGATCGACCTCGACCCTAATCTCTATTGGCCGCACGACAATATATGTGGCTGCCTCCCAAATGGTACCCTATTATCTACAAGTGCACTATGTAGGGAATGGGATGCCAGTTGGGACGCAGCCTATATCCTGACCCCCAACATACACTGACTCTGCAATTACCAGCTGGAGAAGTGTGGCATGCTTACTGTGGCATCATGCTATTCTAGGTCAGATGTCATGTCATTATTCTAGGTCAGAGGTCGTGTCATAATAACACCGACACAATGGTTTCTGTAGCTGGCTGGGTGTGGATAAACTGGTCAGTGATGTCAACATGGCATGTGTTACTGTAATCCTGACTGTTGTTGAGATATTGTTGCAGTGTGTTTTCTGGTCAAATAAATGTAGACTCGTGATTTCCTCATGTCGCTCAATCCCTCCTACTCTCTCCCTCCCTCTCTCCCTCCTCCCTCTTTCCCTCCATCCCAGCCTGCGTCAGAAGCACAGTCACCCAGCCTCTGGATAATCCTAGTCCCCCACCATGCTGGCTCCTCTCTGGGATGGTATCCTGAGTGCCCTGTGTCCCTGTTATTAACAAAGTCTGCCCCATTAACCCCACTAAGCCTAGACGTACTGTAGACACACATACACTACATGCCCAAAAGTATGTGGACCCCTGCTCGTCGAAAATCTCATTCCAAAATCATGGGAATTAATATGGAGTTGGTCCCCCCTTTGCTGCTATAACAGCCTCCACTCTTCTGGGAAGGCTTTCCTCTAGATGTTGGAACATTGCTGCGAGGACTTGCTTCCATTCAGCCACAAAAGCATTAGTGAGGTCGGGCACTGATGTTGGGCGATTAGGCCTGGCTCGCAGTTGGCGTTCCAATTCATCCTAAAGGTGTTCGATGGGGTTAAGGTCAGGGCTCTGTGCAAGCCAGTCAAGTTCTTCCACACAGATCTCGACAAACCATTTCTGTATGGATATCACTTTGTGCACAGGGGCATTGTCATGCTGAAACAGGAAAGGGCCTTCCCCAAACTGTTGCCACAAAGTTAGAAGCACAGAATCATGTAGAATGTCATTGTATGCAGGTTGCGTTCTCCTGGCATCCACCAAACCCAGATTCGTCCTTCGGACTGCCAGATAGTGAAGCGTGATTCATCACTCCAGAGAACGCTTTTCCACTGCTCTAGAGTCCAATGGTGGCGAGCTTTACACCACTCCAGCCGACACTTGGCATTGCGCATGGTGATCTTAGGCTTGTGTACGGATGCTCGGCCATGGAAACCCATTTCATGAAGCTCCCAACGAACAGTTATTGTGCTGACGTTGCTTCCATAGGCAGTTTGGAACTCGGTAGTGAGTGTTGCAACCGAGGACAGACGATTTTAACTCGCTACGCGCTTCAGCACTCGGTGGTCCTGTTCTGTGAGCTTGTGTGGCATACCACTTAGCGGCTGAGCCGTTGTTGCTCCTAGACGTTTCCACTTCACAATAACAGCACTTACAGTTGACCGGGGCAGCTCTAGCAGGGCAGAAATTTGACGAACTGACTTGTTGGAAAGGTGGCATCCTATGACGGTGCCACATTGAAAGTTACTGAGCTCTTCATTAAGGCCATTCTACTGCCAATGTTTGTCTATGGAGATTGCATGGCTGAGTGCTCGATTTTATACACCTGTCAGCAACGGGTGTGGCTGAACTAGCCGAATCCACTAATTTGAAGGGATGTCCACATACTTTTGTATATATAGTGTATGTACAGGACAGGTCATAGTTTGGTTGCTATCTGGCCAGATAATGGGGCGGCAGGTAGTTTAGTGGTTAAGAGCGTTGTGCCAGTAACCGAAAGGTTGCTGGTTCTAATCCCCGAGCCGACTAGGTGAAAAATCTGTCGATGTGCCCTTGAGCAAGGCACTTAACCCTAATTGCTCCTGTAATTCGCTCTTGATAAGTGCGTCTGCTAAATGACTAATTATTATTAATTATTATAATCAAATTATAACCAGTGAAAGACGTTTAAAAAACCTATAATATAAATCAGTACACAACCTGACTATGACGTCATTAAAGACATAAAGATGAGATCACTTATAGCAGTGTCACGATCGTCTGAAGGAGCGGACCAATACGCAGCGCGTGGAGTGAACATGATGACTTTAATATTTAAAGCAACCACGAAGAAAACAACAAATGACGATACGTGAAGTTCAAATACTGATACAGACTAACAGCAACACGGAAACAATAACCCACAAAACAAAGGAGAAAACACACAGAATATATATGGCTCCCAATCAGAGATAACGAGCCGACAGCTGACACTCGTTACCTCCGATTGGGAGTCATAGACCAATCACCATAGACACAAACAAAATGAAACTCACCCATCCCCAACACCACCAAATGAAATACACCCAAACACATGAAAATGAACAACCCTGGCTCAATTATAAAGTCCATAGAGCCAGAGTGTCACAAGCAGTTTTTTAATTAGAGCATGTTTGGTGATGACGGGACAGAACAGACACTCACCACGGCAGTAGCAGTGCCTGCTGCTAGTGATGCCCAGCTCAGGACCAGAGATATCACCCCAAACACCATGATCCTGAGAGAGAGAGAGATTCCTTTATTATTTTGAAACTTTTGTAAGTGTAATGTTTACTGTTCATTTTTTATTGTTTATTTCACTTTTGTTTATTATCTATTTCACTTGCTTTGGCAATGTAAACACGTTTCCCATGCCAACAAAGCCCCTTAAATTGAATTGAGAGGTTAGATCCATGGAAGGGTTCAGAGCCATGTATTTAGAATGCTGTATATGGTTCTGGGAGGGGTTAATATGAGACACAAAGAGTGGAAGAGAGAGATAATGAAATTCAATCTATTTTAGATTGTGATTGTGATGAAGAAAGCATTCTACCATCAGAGATAAATGAAGATGATGTAATAACTTTCCATCTGTTCTCTTCAGAAGGGATTAAAAGGCTGTGTTCTATCTTCATCTGAACATCTAACTCCTCCTCCTTCCTTTAAACTGTATTAAGGTATTTGTTCTATACCTTGAAGTTTCCCTTCCTCTGGAGAATAGCAGCTGCCATCTATTCCACTGTTGTAGAGACACTTAGGCTGCCATTTGGGATGCAGATTTCTCAATCAGGACCACAATCTAAATTTGAATAATTAAAAGGTGATGATTTAATCAAATATATATACACTGCTCAAAAAAATAAAGGGAACACTTAAACAACACAATGTAACTCCAAGTCAATCACACTTCTGTGAAATCAAACTGTCCACTTAGGAAGCAACACTGATTGACAATACATTTCACATGCTGTTGTGCAAATGGAATAGACAACAGGTGGAAATTATAGGCAATTAGCAAGACACCCCCAATAAAGGACTGGTTTTGCAGGTGGTGACCACAGACCACTTCTCAGTTCCTATGCTTCCTGGCTGATGTTTTGGTCACTTTTGAATGCTGGCGGTGCTTTCACTCTAGTGGTAGCATGAGACGGAGTCTACAACCCACACAAGTGGCTCAGGTAGTGCAGCTCATCCAGGATGGCACATCAATGCGAGCTGTGGCAAGAAGGTTTGCTGTGTCTGTCAGCATAGTGTCCAGAGCATGGAGGCACTACCAGGAGACAGGCCAGTACATCAGGAGACATGGAGGAGGCCGTAAGAGGGCAACAACCTTGCAGCAGGACTGCTACCTCCGCCTTTGTGCAAGGAGGAGCAGGAGGAGCACTGCCAGAGCCCTGCAAAATGACCTTCAGCAGGCCACAAATGCGCATGTGTCTGCTCAAACGGTCAGAAACAGACTCCATGAGGGTGGTATGAGGGCCCGACGTCCACAGGTGGGGGTTGTGCTTACAGCCCAACACCGTGCAGGACGTTTGGCATTTGCCAGAGAACACCAAGATTGGCAAATTCGCCACTGGTGCCCTGTGCTCTTCACAGATGAAAGCAGGTTCACACTGAGCACATGTGACAGACGTGACAGAGTCTGGAGACGCCGTGGAGAACGTTCTGCTGCCTGCAACATCCTCCAGCATGACCGGTTTGGAGGTGGGTCAGTCATGGTGTGGGGTGGCATTTCTTTGGGGGCCGCACAGCCCTCCATGTGCTCGCCAGAGGTAGCCTGACTGCCATTAGGTACCGAGATGAGATCCTCAGACCCCTTGTGAGACCATATGCTGGTGCGGTTGGCCCTGGGTTCCTCCTAATGCAAGACAATGCTAGACCTCATGTGGCTGGAGTGTGTCAGCAGTTCCTGCAAGAGGAAGGCATTGATGCTATGGACTGGCCTGCCCGTTCCCCAGACCTGAATCCAATTGAGCACATCTGGGACATCATGTCTCGCTCCATCCACCAACGCCACATTGCACCACAGACTGTCCAGGAGTTGGCGGATGCTTTAGTACAGGTCTGGGAGGAGATCCCTCAGGAGACCATCCGCCACCTCATCAGGAGCATGCCCAGGCGTTGTAGGGAGGTCATACAGGCACGTGGAGGCCACACATACTACTGAGCCTCATTTTGACTTGTTTTAAGGACATTACATCAAAGTTGGATCAGCCTGTAGTGTGGTTTTCCACTTTAATTTTGAGAGTGACTCCAAATCCAGACCTCCATGGGTTGATACATTTGATTTCCATTGATAATTTCTGTGTAATTTTGTTGTCAGCACATTCAACTATGTAAAGAAAAAAGTATGTAATAAGATTATTTCATTCATTCAGATCTAGGATGTGTTATTTTAGTGTTCCCTTAATTTTTTTGAGCAGTACAGTGGGGAAAAAAATTATTTAGTCAGCCACCAATTGTGCAAGTTCTCCCACTTAAAAAGATGAGAGAGGCCTGTAATTTTCATCATAGGTACACGTCAACTATGACAGACAAATTGAGAATAAAAAATCCAGAAAATCACATTGTAGGATTTTTTATGAATTTATTTGCAAATTATGGTGGAAAATAAGTATTTGGTCACCTACAAACAAGCAAGATTTCTGGCTCTCACAGACCTGTAACTTCTTCTTTAAGAGGCTCCTCTGTCCTCCACTCGTTACCTGTATTAATGGCACCTGTCCACAACCTCAAACAGTCACACTCCAAACTCCACTATGGCCAAGACCAAAGAGCTGTCAAAGGACACCAGAAACAAAATTGTAGACCTGCACCAGGCTGGGAAGACTGAATCTGCAATAGGTAAGCAGCTTGGTTTTAAGAAATCAACTGTGGGAGCAATTATTAGGAAATGGAAGACATACAAGACCACTGATAATCTCCCTCGATCTCACCCCGTGGGGTCAAAATGATCACGGTGGGCAAAAATCCCAGAACCACACGGGGGGACCTAGTGAATGACCTGCAGAGAGCTGGGACCAAAGTAACAAAGCCTACCATCAGTAACACACTACGCCGCCAGGGACTCAAATCCTGCAGTGCCAGACGTGTCCCCAAACACACCGCCAGGGCAACGAAGGAGTGGCTTCATAAGAAGCATTTCAAGGTCCTGGAGTGGCCTAGCCAGTCTCCAGATCTCAACCCCATAGAAAATCTTTGGAGGGAGTTGAAAGTCCGTGTTGCCCAGCGACAGCCCCAAAACATCACTGCTCTAAAGGAGATCTGCATGGAGGAATGGGCCAAAATACCAGCAACCGTGCGTGAAAACCTTGTGAAGACTTACAGAAAACGTTTGACCTGTGTCATTGCCAACAAAGGGTATATAACAAAGTATTGAGAAACTTTTGTTATTGACCAAATACTTATTTTCCACCATAATTTGCAAATAAATTCATTAAAAATCCTACAATGTGATTTTCTGGATTTTTTTCCATAGGTACACGTCATAGTTGACGTGTACCTATGATGAAAATTACAGGCCTCTCTCATCTTTTTAAGTGGGAGAACTTGCACAATTGGTGGCTGACTAAATACTTTTTTTCCCCACTGTATATTCTTCGTAGCTGTCTATTTACCACCAAAAACTGATGCTGGCACTAAGACCGCACTCAATGAGCTGTATACAGCCATAAGCAAACAGGAAAACGCTCATCCAGTGGCCGGGGACTTGAATGCAGGGAAACTTAAATCCGTTTTAACTAATTTCTACCAGCATGTTAAATGTGCAACCAGAGGGAAAACAACTCTAGACCAACTTTACTCCACACACAGAGACGCGTACAAAGCTCTCCCTCGCCCTCCATTTGGCAAATCTGACCATAATTTTATCCTCCTGATTCCTGCCTACAAACAAAAAAACTAAAGCAGGAAGTACCAGTGACTCGGTCAATATAAAAGTGGTCAGATGAAGCAGATGCTAAGCTACAGGACTGTTTTGCTAGCACAGACTGGAATATGTTCCGGGATTCTTCCGATGGCATTGAGGAGTACACCACATCAGTCACTGGCTTCATCAATAAGTGCATCGATGACATCGTCCCCACAGTGACTGTACGTACATACCCCAACCAGAAGCTATGGATTACAGGCAACATCCGCACTGAGCTAAAGGGTAGAGCTGCTGCTTTCAAGGAGCGGGACTCTAACCCGGAAGCTTATAAGAAATCCCCCTATGCCCTCCGACGAACCATCAAACAGGCAAAGCGTCAATACAGGACTAAGATCAAATCGTACTACACCGGATCTGACGCTCGTCAGATGTGGCAGGGCTTGCAAACTATTACAGACTACAAAGCGAAGCACAGCCGCGAGCTGCCCCAGTGACACGAGCCTACCAGACAAGCTAAATTACTTCTATGCTCGCTGTGTGGAGTCTGGAGTCGCTAGGGCAACGGGCCATGTGCTGACCAACTGGCAAGTGTCTTCACTGTCATTTTCAACCTCTCCATGTCTGAGTCTGTAGTACCAACATGTTTCAAGCAGACCACCATAGTCCCTGTGCCCAAGAACACTAAGGTAACGTGCCTAAATGACCAACGACCCGTAGCACTCACGTCTGTAGCCATGAAGTGCTTTGAAACGCTGGTCATGCCTCACATCAACACCATTATCCCAGAAACCCTAGACCCATTCCAATTTGCATACCGCCCCAACAGATCCACATATAATGCAATCTCTATTGCGCTCCACACTGCCCTTTCACACCTGGACAAAAGGAACACCTATGTGAGAATGCTATTAATTGACTACAGCTCAGCGTTCAACACCATAGTGCCCTCAAAGCTCATCACTAAGCTAAGGATCCTGGGACTAAACACCTCCCTCTGCAACTGGATCCTGGACTTCCTGACGGGCCGCCCCCAGGTGGTAAGGGTAGGTAACAACACATCCGCCACGCAGATCCTCAACACGGGGGCCCCTCAGGGGTGCGTGCTCAGTCCCCTCCTGTACTCCCTGTTCACTCATGGCTGTATGGCCAGGCACGACTCCAACAAAATCATTACGTTTGCCGATGACACAACAGCGGTAGGCCTGAACACCGACAACAACGAGACAGCCTATAGGGAGGAGGTCAGAGACCTGGCCGTGTGGTGCCAGGACAACAACCTCTCCCTCAACGTGATCAAGACAAAGGGGATGATTGTGGACTACAGGAAAAAGAAGAGGACCGAACACGCCCCCATTCTCATCGACAGGGTTGTAGTGGAGCAGGTTGAGAGCTTCAAGTTCCTTGGTGTCCACATCACCAACAAACTAAAATGGTCCAAGCACACCAAGACAGTCATGAAGAGGGCACAACAAAACATATTCCCCCTAAGGAGACTGAAAAGATTTGGCATGGGTCCTCAGATCCTCAAAAGGTTCTACAGCTGCACCATCAAGAGCATCCTGACTGGTTACATCACTGCCTGGTATGGCAACTGCTCGGCCTCCGACCGCAAGCACTACAGAGGGTAGTGTGTACGGCCCGGTACATCACTGGGGCCAAGCTTCCTGCCATCCAGGACCTCTATACCAGGCGGTGTCAGAGGAAGGCCCTCAAAATTGTCAAAGACTCCAGCCACCCTAGTCATAGACTGTTCTCTTTGCTACCGCACGGCAAGCGGTACCGGAGCGCCAAGTCTAGGTCCAAGAGGCTTCTAAACAGCTTCTACCTCCAAGCCATAAGACTCCTGAACATCTAATAAAATGGCTACCCGGACTATTTGCAGTGCCCCCCCCAGTACCGGTACCCCCTGTATATAGCCTCGCTATTGTTATTTTTACTGCTGCTCTTTAATTATTTGTTACTTTTATTACTCTTTTTTTTTTAGGTATTCTTTCTTAAAACTGCATTGTTAGTTAAGGGCTTGTAAGTATGCATTTCACTGTAAGGTCTACACCTGTTGTATTCGGCACATGTGACAAATACAATTTGATTTGATTTGATCAGCTCTACACAGAGCAAAGTGGGTACCATTTACTTACACAGATCAGAGTGGGTACCAGTTACTTACACAGATCAGAGTGGGTACCAGTTACTTACACAGAGCAAAGTGGGTACCATTTACTTTCACAGATCAGAGTGGGTACCAGTTACTTACACAGATCAGAGTGTGGACCAGTTACTTACATGGTGAGTAGCCAACGGGACTGCTTGGCCACCCCCAGACAGGCCACCAGGCATATAACCAGATCTAGGATCAGCAGTAGCAGGTAGGTCAGCCACCTAGAGAACAGAGAGGGCACAGTGTTACAGATCTAGGATCAGCAGTAACAGGTAGGTCAGCCACCTAGAGAACAGAGAGGGCACAGTGCTACAGATCTGGGATCAGCAGTAACAGGTAGGTCAGCCACCTAGAGAACAGAGATGGCACAGTGTTACAGATCTAGGATCAGCAGTAACAGGTAGGTCAGCCACCTAGAGAACAGAGAGGGCACAGTGTTACAGATCTAGGATCAGCAGTAACAGGTAGGTCAGCCACCTAGAGAACAGAGAGGGCACAGTGCTACAGATCTGGGATCAACAGTAACAGGTAGGTCAGCCGCCTAGAGAACAGAGAGGGCACAGTGTTACAGATCTAGGATCAGCAGTAACAGGTAGGTCAGCCACCTAGAGAACAGAGAGGGCACAGTGCTACAGATCTGGAATCAGCAGAAACAGGTAGGTCAGCCACCTAGAGAACAGAGAGGGCACAGTGTTACAGATCTAGGATCAACAGTAACAGGTAGGTCAGCCACCTAGAGAACAGAGAGGGCACAGTGTTACATATCTAGGATCAGCAGTAACAGGTAGGTCAGCCACCTAGAGAACAGAGAGGGCACAGTGCTACAGATCTAGGATCAGCAGTAACAGGTAGGTGTTAGATTAATTTGGATTTTAAGAATAATGACTAAAGGATTTCACCCCAAACACAGTATAAATGTTAGAATTATCATGTAGTGTCAACCCACTAACAGAGGGGGCGGTACTAACCATTCAAGGGGGAAGGCGGAAACTGTTTAGAAAAGTCACCTAAAGGTGGGAGGAGTCAAGTCCAGGAGGTATAAAATCGTCTGTTTGTGTCATTGGCAGGAGAGCTCTCCATGAATAAATATACCGATAATTACTTGTGGATTGTGGACCTTGAATCATTGATGATTAAAACCAGAGCTTTACAACCTCTGGTAATGATTCAAGCTTAGGGTGAATTAGAGATAGAAATTCACATGACAGATTGGTCCTTCTGAGCGGAGCTTAAAATACATCTTTATCGTTCTGAAGACACCGAATCCGTGCACGGCCGGGTGATTGCATCCGTGGAGAATAGTCCTGGCCTTCGACGTTAAGGTTATAAACAGGCCGGTGATTACTCTTTATGAACGATAAAGACGTTAACGAGTTTGAAAAATTATTTGAATCCAAACTACAAGGAAAAGGTCAGTAGTTTTATTCATGGATTTTGGTGAAATGATTTGAACTTGTATAAGAATAGGAATTCTTGTAAAGGGCAGACAGGTTACCAAAATCTCAAAGAAGGTAATAATTATTACGACAGGGAGGGTCCGCAATTGATCCTAGGTAAATAGCTATTACAAAAATAAACTAGTCCGAAATGACATGGAGTGAATTGCAATCACAAATGTAAACTAGTTAATATTGTCATTGTACGAATTGCAATGTTCAGTATAAACAGGGAGGGTCCGAAATTGATCCTAGGTGAATAGCTATTACAAAAATAAACTAGTCCGAAATGACACGGAGTGAATTGCAATCACAAATGTAAACTAGTTAATATTGTCATTGTACGAATTGCAATGTTCAGTATAAACAGGGAAATAATTATCATTGTGTGAGATGGATGTGTCGGGAGTAGCATGTGCAACTGGGCATTTGCTAGAACTTTGCAAACAAGTTTGGCAAATGATAAGGTCGTATATGTGTGAGACTTAATCCATCGGGAGACGTGATCATTATTTCAGGGGTGGAGAAAAAAATAAGTCGCGTGAGAAAAATTGGGTAACTTACTCTTTTCATGAAACCGGAGTTTTAAATAGAAACTCTGGGTTAGGGGTTAAATCATTTTAAATGGTTAATTACAAAAGCAAGAGGCGCACTAAGATATTAACTCCTACGAAAATAATTCGGGAGTGAATTATTTAAAAAACAAAAAGGGGGGGGGGATTTCTTATTGTTCCACCATGGGAAAGACATCTTCTAAACAAGTCCGAGAATTAACGGGAGATGAAAGATATATGTTAGAAAGAGAAAGAAGAAATATGTTTTATGGATCCATTTGGGAGAAGAGGTATGAATTTATTGGGCATCTCGAAGTAAAAAAGTTAGTAGGCAGATGCATATAAAATTAGATGAAAAAAAAACAGCGAAAGGAGGGGCTAGAGACAGCGAGTGTGTTTCTTTTTTAAGCGCGAAAGTGCTTTAACGGGGACAAAGGAATATTTAACCATCGTGACTGCAGGGGAAAAGGAATAGGACAGTCATTTTTTTTGGTTCAACGGGTAAAATGTTTGAAAAAATGATTCGTGTCAATTAAGAATTGGCTAAAAACACCACAAAGCGATTATTTGAGAAGTCCAACGATGCATATGTATGAACTTTCGCACTCAAACGTAGACGTACGTAATGAGTGAGAAAGTACAGAATAATTACATTTGCATTTTTGGTCATTTGGCAGACGCTCTGGTCCGGAGCGACTTGTAAGAACCAATAGAGAATTGCACGGAACTATTCTGTTGTGTTGGGCATTTGAATGGCATAAGGTGAAATATGTACAGTGGGGAGAACAAGTATTTGATACACTGCCGATTTTGCAGGTTTTCCTACTTACAAAGCATGTAGAGGTCTGTAATTTTTATCATAGGTACACTTCAACTGTGAGAGACGGAATCTAAAACAAAATTCCAGAAAATCACATTGTATGATTTTTAAGTAATTAATTTGCATTTTATTGCATGACATAAGTATTTGATCACCTACCAACCAGTAAGAATTCTGGCTCTCACAGACCTGTTAGTTTTTCTTTAAGAAGCCCTCCTGTTCTCCACTCATTACCTGTATTAACTGCACCTGTTTGAACTCGTTACCTGTATAAAAGACACCTCTCCACACACTCAATCAAACAGACTCCAACCTCTCCACAATGGCCAAGACCAGAGAGCTGTGTAAGGACATCAGGGATAAAATTGTAGACCTGCACAAGGCTGGGATAGGCTACAGGACAATAGGCAAGCAGCTTGGTGAGAAGGCAACAACTGTTGGCGCTATTATTAGAAAATGGAAGAAGTTCAAGATGACGGTCAATCACCCTCGGTCTGGGGCTCCATGCAAGATCTCACCTCATGGGGCATCAATGATCATGAGGAAGGTGAGGAATCAGCCCAGAACTACATGGCAGGACCTGGTCAATGACCTGAAGAGAGCTGGGACAACAGTCTCAAAGAAAACCATTAGTAACACACTACGCCGTCATGGATTAAAATCCTGCAGCGCACGCAAGGTCCCCCTGCTCAAGCCAGCGCATGTCCAGGCCCATCTGAAGTTTGCCAATGACCATCTGGATGATCCAGAGGAGGAATGGAAGAAGGTCATGTGGTCTGATGAGACAAAAATAGAGCTTTTTGGTCTAAACTCCACTCGCTGTGTTTGGAGGAAGAAGAAGGATGAGGACAACCCCAAGAACACCATCCCAACCGTGAAGCATGGAGGTGGAAACATCACTCTTTGGGGATGCTTTTCTGCAAAGGGGACAGGACGACTGCACCATATTGAGGGGAGGATGGATGGGGCCATGTATCGCGAGATCTTGGCCAACAACCTCCTTCCCTCAGTAAGAGCATTGAAGATGGGTCGTGGCTGGGTTTTCCAGCATGACAACGACCCGAAACACACAGCCAGGGCAACTAAGGAGTGGCTCCGTAAGAAGCATCTCAAGGTCCTGGAGTGGCCTAGCCAGTCTCCAGACCTGAACCCAATAGAAAATCTTTGGAGGGAGCTGAAAGTCCGTATTGCCCAGCGACAGCCCCGAAACCTGAAGGATCTGGAGAAGGTCTGTATGGAGGAGTGGGCCAAAATCCCTGCTGCAGTGTGTGCAAACCTGGTCAAGACCTACAGGAAACGTATGATCTCTGTAATTGCAAACAAAGGTTTCTGTACCAAATATTAAGTTCTGCTTTTCTGATGTATCAAATACTTATGTCATGCAATAAAATGCAAATTAATTACTTAAAAATCATACAATGGGATTTTCTGGATTTTTGTTTTAGATTTCGTCTCTCACAGTTGAAGTGTACCTATGATAAAAATTACAGACCTCTACATGCTTTGTAAGTAGGAAAACCTGCAAAATCGGCAGTGTATCAAATACTTGTTCTCCCCACTGTATGTATGAGGGAATTCAACGGCGGGTATAAATGATAACCGGATACTACTTAGTATTTGGTTGGTTAAATGCTGAATAAAAGATTTGAGGCGTGGTTATGGGGTAACTAGGAAGACGCACTTATTCAATAAGGAATGGGTGGAGAGAGAGAGTTTTTTTACGTGTATTAAAAGTTGCATTAGATAGGTCTATGAAAATATGTTATAAGTACGAATGACATTATTTCCTAAGAAGGAAGATTGTAGGGAAGTTTCCCGCGCCTCCCCCATAATGTAGGAAGGAGCAGGAGAGGGGGGGGAGTGAGAGACAGTAAATAAGTTCAGATGGTAGGAATGTCATTAAGTGTATGCTGATAAACGATATCAAGCATTTGTTTTATTGATTGGGGCCGAATCAGAGAGAACTGTTAAAGATATTGAATAGCGAACTGAAATGGGTTAGCGGGAAAATACAAATAGTTGGACAATTTTTAAACGATAATTTATTTTCGTTACAGGGAAGCAAGTGGCATTGGCTGTTGTGCTGGGGGAATAGCGCCAGCCTGTGGTGGGTTCTGGATTTGTTATAAATAACTTTATTTTAAACTAAAGTGATGGAATAGACTACAATTATAACATCAGAATAAGGACAATATAATTCGTAATAGTTATTATAATTATTATTGATAGTTATTGCAGTTATTATTATCCTGAGTGGCGCAGTGGTCTAAGGCACTGCATCGCAGGGCTAACTGTGCCACTAGAGATCCTGGTTCGGATCCAGGCTCTGTCGCAGCCGGCAGTGACCGGGAGACTCATGGGCGGCGCACAATTGGCCCAGCGTCGTCCAGGGTAGGGGGGAAAATGGCCGGCAGGGATGTAGCTCAGTTGATAGAGCATGGTGTTTGCAACGCCAGGGTTATGGGTTCGATTCCCACGGGGGGAGGCCAGTAGAAAAAAAAAGAATAATAAAAAGAATAATATGTATTCACTAACTGTAGGTCGCTCTGGATAGGAGCGTCTGCTGGGTGACTAGAATGTAAATGTATTATCATTGATTCAGTAATGATAGGAGGAAAGAGGAAGATGAGGCATGACTAGAGCAAGGGGAAGATAGTAAGACAGATAGTGAAGGAGAGGGGTCAGAGGATACCATTGATACGGGGTGTGAAGTGTTTGAATTGGAAACGATTGAATTGGCTCTGCAGCAAGAACAGAAACCATACCTCACTTTAACAATATTGGGGAAAAATATTAAATTCTTGTGTGACACAGGGGCATGTCGCACAGCGATCTGTGTAGCCGACATACCCAAAGAAATTAGAATTAATGGGGAAAAAATCATGGTACGCTCGGCCTCGGGCCATCAATTTATAGAGCGATTATCGGCCCCGGTGACTTTAAAACATGAAGATTCAGGGGGAGAGGTATGCATACCTGTACTTGTATCAAGCCTGTGTCCGGTCAATTTGCTAGGAAGGGATGCCATGACTCAGTTGAACGTAGCTGTAAAGCCAACGCTGAGGGGTATGAAGGCATATGTCGTAAGGGATAATATGGTATTGAGCGGGGAGGGAAAACCATGCTATTGGTATAGCCAGGATCTGCTAAGAGGGGGACTCACAGACATACCGAAATCACTAATGGACCTAAGTAATGAGTTAGTGATTGGATCAACCAAGATGACGGTAGATGACTTACACTGTACATTATGGTGTAATGAGCACCCAGGTCCTAACCCAGATTATGAGGAAGAATTGTTAAAAATCACAGAAAAAACAATTGGGTTAAAATGGGTTCACTATGATAAAAAACGGGCAGCTGTAGAGGTGGAGTTAGGACCACAAAGCCAGAGACTGTACAGAGAAAGGTGGAGCCCCCATGTTTCCCTAGTGAAAGAACCTTCAGAGGAATGGTTATCACTAGGTAAATGGATAAAACAGGGGGAAAACATCACTGACTGGCAAAATACACCAAATGGGGATCAGTATAGCCACTCCACGGGGAGATATAGAAGAAAATTGAATTGGAGAGCAAAAACCCAGCCCGGGGTCCACCTGGAGACAAATTTTAACGGATGACAGGAAGAGATTTTCTTAACTCAGGAACAGGAGGATGAGTTGGCAGCAATTCCGTTCAAATTATGGTCACAAGGACCAGCCGATGTGGGACTAATTAAGGGGGTAGCTCCAGTACAAGTGATTCCTCGATCCGATCATAGACCATACCAAAAGCAATACCCTATGAAACCAGAAGCAATAAAAGGGATAACACCTACATTTGAGCATTTACTTAAGGGAGGGGTGATAATTCCTGGAGATGAGGCACAATGCAACTCTCCAGTATTTCCTGTTAAAAAGGCGGCACCTAGCGCCGACTGGAGGATGGTAATGGACTTGCAGGGGGTTAATAGAAATATAATTCCCAGAGCTCCATGTGTACCAGATCCACATACATTGCTGAACCAATTGAAACCAGAAAACTCCTATTTTACAGTGATAGATTTAGCTAATGCTTTCTTTAGTATCCCAGTTCATCCGGATAGTCAGGGGTGGTTTGGCTTTACTTTTCAGGGAAGGAAATGGACATAGGATGCCTCAAAGCTACTCGGAAAGTCCTACAATCTTTGCCCAGGCTATAACTAGGCATTTGGGAAAGTTTGAACCTCAGGAGGGAAGCCAAATGTTAGTTTATGTAGATGATATTCTATTGGCTAATCCCACTCAGGAGGGATGTAAGAGGGATACAATCCAATTGTTAACCTTCCTAGCAGAACAGGGACACAAAGTGAGCAAAAAGAAACTTCAACTTTGGCAGAGCGAGGTGATTTACCTAGGACACGCTATAACTCAGGAAGGGCGAATGTTAAACTCATCCAGGAAAACTGCTATACTTGAAGCGCCAAAACCATTGAAAAAAAAACAAATGATGAGCTTTTTGGGGATGATAAACTACTGTAGAGCTTGGGTACCGCATTATGCACTACATACTGGGAAGTTAAGTGATCTTATCTATGGGAAGGCAATGGCAGCCCATGATAAAATCATTTGGAACTCTGAGGAGGAAGAACAGTTTATGTTGTTGCTCTCTTCCCAAACAGTCTTAGCTTTTCATACATATATCAGGGATGTTACCCAAATGGTAGATGGAGGGATATGACATTGGTCGTGATTTAAAGATGTTTTTTTTTTTTGGTGGGCTATTAGAGATAACTGGGTTAATCACGAACATAGAGGTTTTTATTCTTTGTTGCTAGGCAGAATACTTAGGGGACCTAAAAATGGACTTGTCATATCCAAAAATCAGTCTTCAGGTCAAGCCCGGGAGAGCCGGGGTAGAACAGAGGTTGAACTAAACATAAGTGTTTTTACAAGATAAGAGATAGTTTGTTGGATTACTAATTGATTCTGAACTGAATGAAAGTCGAATTTAGCCGCCATAAAGACAAAGGAAGTGGGAGGAGCAATAAAGAAGCAAAAGACAATCTCAAAAATGAAAGGCATGGCAATTGGTTGATAAATAACCTAAGGGAATGTTTAGGAAGGTGGAAAAAATTGACACATAAGCAGAACTATGTGTCAAGAGGGGGGAAGAGGCTAATTGTATTAAATAATATACGAAGGAGAGGACAAAATACTTTAAAAAAAAAACATTTTTTTACATACAGTCTAAAAAGAGAATGCAGTCAGAAATTGTTAGATTAATCTGAACATGTGTGAAGATAGTTTATTAACCACACCCGTATGTCAGAGGTTTTGTGCCCCACAGGTGAACTAAAGGAGAAGGTGACCCACTATCTAACCAGGTGACTGGTGAGCATCCAGTCACTAGAAGGAAACTGGAAGCAGGCCCTGTTGGGAAGGGCCCTATCAGGTTATGTTGGTAACCACCTTGGCCATTAGAATAGCAGAGAGAGGAATCCTGGGTCCATGTTACCCACTGCAAGAAGGTAAGACCACATACAAGCACCGCTTAGCACACGCAGAGTTGACGAGCGGAACTGGGCCACAGGGTCCGGGGGTCACCTCTGTCAACGAAGATCTCCTACCCAGACCTATCATCACTGTAGTGTGTTCCTAGGGTGTGAGTATGGGGTGGGTACCGAGCAGAAGGACTCAAGACAGGAGAGCGTTGGCGGTTTTGGGGAATATGGGTGACCCTGAGCTGCATCATAGTCTCGGCAATAGTCGTGGTATGTCAAGATCCATCACCACCTCGCACCAATTACGCTATGGCCTTACCATTATTAAGAAATAAAAGGGAAGCGACCCGACATACTGACCGTCAAGGGCGAGTGATCTACAAAATAGGAGTCAGAGAGGGGTGGGGAGTAAGATTCAAAATTAGGATTAGGGATCTTATCAGAGCAGATAAGCAAGCAACATGGGATTATAAGATCCCGTTGTATTTATGTTCAGCTCCCTCGGCAGATTGTTCCTGGGCTCAGGTATTTAGACATACTGGGGGACGGAGATATGAGACGGACGGGGGGGGGGGGGGGGGGCTGGACGTCCAGATGGAGGATAAGAAGGTATAACGACATCCCCACGGAAATGGTAGTAACGATAGTAAAAGTCACTAAAGAGGACATGAAAATAACTTACTGGGCTTGCGCGGACAAATACGGATGGGATACTTGTATAAGATTACATTTGATGGAGTCAAAAGATATGGAAAGCACAGGTACTGTCATTAATCCACTAACAGCAATAGACCGAGTAGATCAGTCAAGGGATGACGGAGTCAATTCAACTAACCCGTCCACTATGAAAGATTTTCTCCTCCAAGAATGGAACAATGGGGAAGTGGAGGGGGTCCCTGATGAGAATCTCTGGTTAAAGTGGATGAAATACACCGCTAGGGCCTTGGGGGAGACCAATTGTTATGCATGCTCCATTGGGCGACCGACAATGTTGACCGCCCCAATGCCAAAGGCAATGTTTCCCTGTGTATTAGACCTGGGGTCCAATCAAAAAGAGCCAAATTGCACAGGGATTGGGCTGGCAAAATTGACATACTGGGCCAGTCCACCTAGATTCACTTTAACTCCTGGCGAATACCAGTGTTACAGACATAGAAATGGCACCCGTAACTTGGGTGATTTTGATGGCTGTAAGGAGATAATTAATGTGACTGATTTAGATAAGGAAGGGAGGGAAAAAAATTAGGAGCCTAACCATCCCTCTGACTGATGTGTGGTGGGCATGCACTAACAAAGGGAGCATTCGACAGACATTACCAGAGGGATGGGTGGGTACTTGTGCACCAGTATTGTTGGTCCAGCCTGTAAGAATTAGTCATCAAAGACCAGGGACAGGAAGAATAATTAGGAGAAAAAGAAATAAGTCAGGAAAGAAATAGCCCAATTTGGATAGATGGTATAGGCATCCCCAGGGGTGTTCCAGACGAATACAAAGCTATGAATCAAATATGGGAGAGTTTTACTACAAAATTTTTCTGGTGGGTGACAATAAACAAAAATATGGATTGGATAAATTATATCTATTACAACCAACAACGATTTTTGACCGACTAGAGATGGAAAGGGGGTTTTCTTTGCTGTAAATTGGGGGTTTTGTCCGGGGGGGGGTTTTTGTTTTTTTTTTTTTCGTTTTTTTGGTAGAAAAGAATTTCCCCAACCCAATGGTTTGGGGGGGTCCCAAATTTCAGTTTTCGTGGGGTGAACTCCCGGTTAGTCTTTGGGGATGGTTGTGAAAAAAATTTTTTAAAGGGCCCCGGCCCCCTTGGGGACGTTTTTCCCTTTTTTGTATTTGGGTTTTTGTCTTGCCCCCTTGGATTGGTTTAGTGGCTTTAAACTTTTCTCATGGGGACTCTTTCGGATTGGGGGAAGTGGAAAAAAACCGGCTTTGGTTGCCCGAATTTTTTGGCCTAAAGACCCCCTTGGTTAATGTTTTTTTCTTTGTTTTTTTTTTTTTACATTTTTCCAAAGGGGAATATTTTGTAAAGGGGGGGATTTTAGATTTTTTTGGAAGAAAGCCGGTTCAAAACCAGTAAGGAAAATTTTTGTATTTCCCTAACAACCCAAAAACAAGGGGGAAGGGGAAAACTTTTAGAAAAATCACTAAAAATGGGAGGAATAATCCAAGGATAAAAAATTGTTTTTGGCATAGGGGGTTTAAAAAATAGTTAGTAGGGAAAAATGAAAAAAAAGAGCACAACTTAGGGGATTTAAATTTGGGGGTTTGGAAAGTAAATACTGGGTTGGGAGAGGGGGTTGTCTGGGCCCGTGGGCGAGGAAAAAAGGGAAAAGGGAGTTTAGGCGTTTTAAAAAATGCAGACTAAAACAAGGGGACATGACGATTTGGACCCTTAAATAAAAAGGGGAATGGAAAAAGGGCCAGGTTTTGGGATAAAGGATGACCTGAAAGGGGGGCCGGCAATTGGATAAAGTAAATAGGGTTTGATGGAACAGGGGAGGGACAGTTTAAACTTTATCGGTGGGTATCGCAAGGGGGGGGGAAGTTAAAATTTGATAGATAGAAAAAAGGTACCCCAAAAAAGAAAATGTAAAAAATTACATGGGAGTAACCAAACAGAGGGGCCGGTTTTTAAAATTTCCAGGGAAAAAGGGCAGGAAAGGAAGGGGAAAAGGGGCCAAGGTCGGGAGGGCAGCCCCAGAAAAAAAGGGGGGGGTCTGTTGGTCCAAACAGGAGGAGCCCAGAAAAAAACCAAATTTTCTTGGATGGAAAAAGGATCAGATGAAAAAAACACCGGTTAAACTTTAGGTAAAGGGGTTTAGACCAGGGGGAAAGAGAGGGAATTAAATTAAATAAAAAGGGAGGTCAGCCACCTAGAGAACAGAGAGGGCACAGTGTTTCAATCTGGGTCAGCAGAACAGGTAGGGGCAGACTAGAGAAAGAGAGGGACAGGTTTAAAACTAGGATCAAACAAAGTAACAGGTAGGAGCCACCTAGGAACAGAAGGACGTGTTACAGATCTAGGTCAGCAAGTAAAGGTGGTCAGCCCCCTGGGAACAGAGAGGGCAAGGTTCAATTAGGATCAGCAGTAAAGGTGGTCAGCCCCCTAGAGAAAAGAGAGGGCACAGGTACAGATCTGGAAAAAACAGTAAAAGGTAGGTAGCCACTAGAGAAAAGAGGGGCACGTGCTACAGATCTGGGATCAGCAGTAGCGGTAGGTAGCCCCAGAGAAAAGAAGGGGGCACAGGTTACAGACTGGATCAGCGGGAACAGGGGTCGCCAACCCGAGACAGAGGGGCAAGTGTACGATTGGGATTAGCATAACAGGAGGTCAGACCTAGAGAAAAGAGAGGGCCAGTTAACAATCTAGGATCAGCAGAAAAAAGGAGTCAGCCACTAGAGAAAAGAGAGGGCCAGTTTTTGGGCAAACTGGATCAGCCAGTAACATGTAGGTCAGCCCCCTGAGAACGAGAGGGCAAGTGTACAATTGGGATCCCCCAGTAAAAGGTGGTCAGCCGGAGAACAGAAGGGCAAAAAAGGGTTTAAATTAGGTCAGCAGAACAGGTTTTCAGACTAGAGAACAGGAGGGGGACGGGTTACAGATCTGGGGTCAGCAGTAAAGGGGGTAGCCACCTAGGAACAGAGGGGCACGGTTTCAGATCTAGGGGCGCAGAAAGGAGGTCAGCCCCCTAGGAAAAGGGGGGCCCCGTGTACGAAAAGGATCAGCTAAAGGTAGGTACCCCCAGAGAACAGAGAGGGCACGTGTTCAGTCTAGGATCAGCAAAATTAAAAAGGAGGTCAGCCCCCCTAGAGAACCCGAGAGGGGGGCCGGTTAAATTGGTCAGCAGTAAAGGTAGGTCGCCCCCTGAGAACGAGAGGGCACGTGTCAGTTGGAACCGAGTAACAGGAGGTCAGCCCTAGGAACAGGGGGCAAGGTTAAAACCTGGATCAGCAAGTAACAGGGGGTCGCCCCCCAGAGAAAGGAGGGCACAGTGTAAGATCTGGAAGCGTAACGGTAGGTCGCACTGAGAACAGAGAGGGAAGGAAGATCTGGGGTCAGCAGTCCGGTTGGTAGCCCAAAAAGGAGGGAAAATTTACAGATTGGACCGAAAAGGGGGTTTGCCACCCAGGAAAAAGAACCCGTCCCAAATCTGGGATAGCAGTAACGGTAGGTCGACCTAGAGACGAGGGCCCCGTTTTAAGTCTTTCCAAAAAAGGAGGGGCCCCCGCAAAGGGAATGTCAGTTGGGGTGAAAACCGGGGGGTGCCAAGGGGAACAGAGGGGAAAAATGTTCAATTTTTGTGGGATGACCTCCCCCTTTTTGGTAATACCCGGGGGTTTCCCCCAGAGCAAAGGGGGAACAGATTGGAAAAAATTTGTGTGCCCCCGGGAAAGAGGGGGCCTGTTTGATCTGGGGGTCGAGATAAGGAGGTCAGCCCCCCCAGGGGAACGAAAGGGCAAAGTGTAAGATCTAGGATCAGAGAACGGTTGGGCAACCACCGAGAAAAAGAGAGGGGACAGTTTTTCAGATCTAGGATCGCAGTAAAAGTTAGACCCAGAGAACAGAGAGGGGACATGTACGATCGGGGTCGCAGAAAAAAGGAGGGCAGCCCCCTGAGAAACAGGAGGGCACAGTGTTACAGATTAGGTCCAATAAAAAGGTAGTTTAGCCCCCTAGAGAACAGGGGGACAGGTTTAAATTGGATCGAGTAACAGGAGTCAGCCACCCAGAGAACAGAGAGGGGAAGTGTACAGATCTAGGTAGCAAAATAAAGGGAGGTCACCCCTAGAGAACAGAGAGGGCACAGGTACGATTGGCAGCAGTAACGGTGGTCAGCCCCAGAGAAAAGAGAGGGCACAGTTTTTAAAGATTAGGTCGCAGTAACGGTAGGTCAGCCACCAAAAACGGAGGGCACTTTTACAGATCTGGTAGCGTAAAAAGGGAGGTCAGCACCAGAGAACAGAGAGGGACAGTGCTACAGATTGGGGGTCAGCAGAAAAAGGTAGTCAGCCCCTAGAGAAAAGAGGGCACAGTGTAAGATCTAGGATCAACGTAAAAGGTAGTTTAGCCACCGGAACAGGAGGGGAGTGTTACAATCTGGTCAGCAGGTAAAAGGGGGTCAGACCTAGGAAAAAAGAGAGGGGGACGTGTACAGATTAGGGTCAGCAGAGTAAAAAAAGGGAGGTCGCCACCGAGAACAGAGAGGGCACAGTGCTACAGATCTGGGATCAGCAGAACAGGTAGGTCAGCCACCTAGAGAACAGAGAGGGCACAGTGTTACAGATCTAGGATCAGCAGTAACAGTAGGTCAGCCACCTAGAGAACAGAGAGGGCACAGTGTTACAGATCTAGGATCAGCAGAAAACAGGTAGGTCAGCCACCTAGAGAACAGAGAGGGCACAGTGTTACAGATCTAGGATCAGCAGTAACAGGTAGTCAGCCACCAGAGAACAGAGAGGGCACAGTGTACAGATCTAGGATCAGCAGTAACAGGTAGGTCAGCCACCCAGAGAACAGAGAGGGCACAGTGTTACAGATCTGGATCAGCAGTAACAGGTAGGTCAGCCACCTAGGAACAGAGAGGGCACGTGTTACAGATCTAGGATCACAGAACAGGTAGTCAGCACCAGAGAACAGAGAGGGCACAGTGTTACAGATCTGGATCAGCAGAACAGGTAGTCAGCCACTAGAACAGAGAGGGACAGTGTTACAGATCTGGATCAACAGTAACAGGTAGTCAGCCACTAGAGAACAGAGAGGGCACAGTGTTACAATCTAGGATCAGCAGTAACAGGTAGGTCAGCCACCTAGAGAACAGAGAGGGCACAGTGCTACAGATCAGGATCAGCAGTAACAGGTAGGTCAGCCACTAGAGAACAGAGAGGGCACAGTGCTACAGATCTAGGATCAGCAGTAACAGGTAGGTCAGCCACCATAGAACAGAGAGGGCACAGTGTTACAGATCTAGGATCAGCAGTAACAGGTAGGTCAGCACCAGAGAACAGAGAGGGCACAGTGTTACAGATCTAGGATCAGCAGTAACAGGTAGGTCAGCCACCAGAGAACAGAGAGGCACGTTTACAGATCTAGATCACAGTAACAGGTATTCAGCCACCTAGAGACAGAGGGCACAGTGTAGATCTAGGATCAAGTAAAGTAGTCGCCACTAGAAACAAGAGGCACGTGCCAGATCTGGGTCACAGTAACGTAGGTCAGCCCCTAGGAACGAGAGGACAGTGTACAGACTAGATCAGAAATAACAGTGTCACCACCAGAAAACGAGAGGCCAGGTTTTTCGTTGGATCAGCAAACAGTGTGCACCAAAGAACAGAGGGCACAGTGACAGTCTGGGATCAGCAGTAAGCAGGTAGGTCAGCACCGAGAACAGAGAGGGCACGTGTTACAGATTGGATCAGCGGGTAAACAGGTGGTCGGGCCACCAGAGAACAGAGAGGGCCAGTGACAGATCAATCAAACAGTA